TTTCATAAAAATAAAAATGTACTGCAAAGAATATGTTTTATGCATTGAAAAATAAAAATTTGTTAAAATATATTATTTCTATATTTTGTAAATAAAGTTATTTATTAAAATAATTTTTTTATTTATAAAATTGAAATAGATTAAAAAATTAATGTTTTAAATTAAAAATTTTTTATTTGAATTAATATATGTAATTAACTATTATGAAAATTAATTAGTCGTTAAATTTTTTTTTTTTTTTAATAATTAATATTCGTTTTTTTAGTATAAACAAATTTTATTTTATTTTGAACAAAATTATATTTTTAATGATAAAAACTTTGTTATTTTACATAGAGACGAATAATATTATACTTTTTTTATTTGTGAGTGAGAAGTGACCAAAACCAAATAATTGTAAATCATCGTAAAAATAATAATAATAATAAATAATAATATAAAATAAATAATAATAAAATAATAAATAAATAATAATAAAAGTATAATATTATTCGTCTCTATGTAAAATAACAAAGTTTTTATCATTAAAAATATAATTTTGTTCAAAATAAAATTAAATTTGTTTATAGGTAAAAAAAGATTAGTTATTATTAAAAAAAAAAAAAAATTTAACGACTAATTAATTTTCATAATAGTTAATTACATATATTAATTCAAATAAAAAATTTTTAATTTAAAACATTAATTTTTTAATCTATTTCAATTTTATAAATAAAAAAATTATTTTAATAAATAACTTTATTTACAAAATATAGAAATAATATATTTTAACAAATTTTTATTTTTCAATGCATAAAACATATTCTTTGCAGTACATTTTTATTTTTATGAAAAAAATTTAATTATTAATAATTAATAAAAAATAAAAATTTTTTGTAATTAAAAAATAAAATTACAATATTTCATTATTTCACAGATTTAAATGCTAAAAATGAAAAAATTTTCATGTCTATATGTCAATTTTTATAATAAACATTAATTATTTAATATCGGTATTTAATTATTTAAAATACTATACTTGATTTAAAATAAAAAAACTACATTAAATTATGTATATATTCATTCGAATTTAATTTGACCATTTGAATTTGCCGCTCTTCCTAGTAACTTTCTGTCGGTAAGTTTCTGTCGAATACTTTTTGTCAGTAATGATGCATTTCCTCAATCCAGTGGTAACAACTCTCGCAGGTCTCGTGCCTGTCACATTTACCTTTTTAACTTTTAGATAAAATTTCGTCGCTCCTCCTCGTAATCGGCATTATTACACTTCAAAACAATCGGCTTTTTCATTGACAATGTCAAATCGCGTTAATACACATCAATTCAAACAATCCAGGTGAACCGTATTCACGGTAAGAAAAAAGTATACACCGTAACGTCTCTATACCGTCATTACATGCCGAACGGTATAGCCACTAAGCTATGAGTCTATACTTTTTCCTTACTGTCTATACTTTTTTTTTTACTGGGTACTTTGGTAAATTGTTCTCCTATATGATAGTAATAAATCCCTAAAATATAAACTCATTAAAAAAATATTTGTAGAAAGTAGAGGGGGTTGAAGTTTTGACGTTAAGGGTAACATTGTCATATTTAAATCCGTATAACTATGACAAAAGTTTATGGATTTTAATTTATCTATAATGAATTTTAATGCATTTTTCACGTACTTTTCAAAAATGTATACGAAATTTAAAAAAAAAAATTTTACCCCTTTTTTTCAAAATCAACCCTTATTTTTCGATTTCCACCCCTTCGGGTATTTTATATTTTTTTTTATTTTCATTGGAAAGCTGAGGTTTTTTCCCATGAGCTATGTAAATATGAAAATGGGACAACAATAATTTTGTGAGAAACAGAATATTAAAGTAGGCGGTGTCGATAAGGAGTATACCTGGAGACCATATTTGAGGATTTAGGTAGGTACCGCCTAATGTAATATTATGTTTCTCGCAAAATTATTGTTGTCCCACTTTCGTATTTACATAGCTCATGGGAAAAAACCTCAGCTTTCCAATGAAACTAAAAAAAATTTAAAAAAAAATTCCCGAAGGGGTGAAAATCGAAAAATAAGGGTTGATTTTGAAAAAAAGGGGTCAAAAAATTTTTTTTTTAAATTTCATATACATTTTTGAAAAGTACGTGAAAAATGCATTAAAATTCATTATAAATAAATTAAAATCCATTAACTTTTGTCATAGTTATATGGATTTGAAAATGACAATGTTACCCTTAACGTCAAAACTTCAACCCCCTCTACTTTCTACAAATATTTTTTTAATGAGTTTATATTTTAAGGATTTATTACTATCATATAGGACAACAATTTACCAAAGTATGAAGCCAATCCCAGAACATTGACTATTTGGGCTGGGGCGATTGAAAAAGAATCTCTCATATCTGAAATTATTTAGTACATAAGTATAATTATATATTATTATTAATTAATAATATTATATTAATATTATTTATATTATGTATTATAATACCTATATATTATAATTATACATCAAATAGATAAAATTTTAAAAATTGTTAGAAATAAAATATATATATATACATATATATATATATAATTTAAGAATGAATAGAAATATCATTATATTTTACCATTTGACAAATATTGAGAGTCGATAATGAAGTGTCACTCATTATCATAATCTTCTCTTCTTTACCCATAAAATGTCAAGTACAGCAGTATACTTTCAGTTAAAAAGTGATTTTTTGGAAAACTCTTTCCTTTTCTTCGATCGAGGTATTTTTATACTTTCTTTTTCTGTATACAGGGTGTTCCAAAAGTATGGAAACTTGCAAATATCTCGAAAAGTACGAATTTTCGTGAAAAATATTCAAGACAAAAGTTGTTCCACACAAAAAGATGTACAACTTTGAAACCAAAAAATTGGGCCCTACAATGAAAAAAGTGGTTTTCTTAAATGAGACCACTAATTTTCAGTATCAAATTCGTAATCCCCATGAAATTCTGCGTTCAGACATGTGGTATAAGTGCCCAAAATATTGAGCCCAATCCAAGATATTGGGTCCAAAATTTATCAACAGATAAATAAATTTGAAAAAATTGCATCTTGGAGGGATTTTGAGATCACAGGATTAGAAATTGGAAGCTAATTTTCAAATTGAGCATAGAGCCCAATGTAAGATTCTGCAGCCCAATGTGAGGGCCCAATATTTTTGGAATTTGTACTACAAGTCTAAGCCCTGAATTTCAGAACGATTACGAAATGGAAGGAAACTAATTTTTTTACTGTAGACCTCACATTGGGCTGCGGAATCTTACATTGGGCTCTGTGCCCAATTTGAAAAATAGCTTTGAATTTTTAATTCTGTGACCCCAAAAACTCCATAAGATGCGTTTTTATAAATTTATTTATTTGTCAAAAAAAGTCGATCCCAATCCCAGATATTGGGCACAATATTTTTTGGCTATTGTACTACAAGTTTAAACCCAGAATTTCATAAGGATTCTGAAATGGATACTGAAAATTAGTGGGTTTTATTTAAACAACTAATTTTTTTTAATATGGGCCTCACATTGGGCGGCGGAATCTTACATTGGGCTCTATGCCCAATTTGAAAATTAGCTTCCAATTCCTAATCCTGTGATCTCAAAATCCCTCCAAGATGTGATTTTTTAAAATTTATTTATTTGTTGATAAATTTTGGACCCAATATCTTAGATTGGGCCCAATATTTTGGGCACTTATACCACATGTCTGAACGCAGAATTTCATGGGTATTACGAATTTGATACTGAAAATTAGTGGTCTCATTTAAGAAAACCACTTTTTTCATTGTAGGGCCCAACATTGGGCTCCGGGCCCAATTTTTTGGTTTCAAAGATGTACATCTTTTTATTTAGAACAACTTTTGTCTTGAACATTTTTTACAAAAATTCGTACTTTTCGAGATATTTGCAAGTTCCCATACTTTTGGAACACCCTGTATATCAAGAATTATGCATTTTCTACCGTTTTTTCAATGTTTCAATAGTTTTTCATATTATTTTAGCAGCTTTTTAGACACGAGAAATATTGCGGATGATTGGGCACAATGCATTGGACAATTGAACAAACACTACAATTGTCCGAATGCATTTTAGACAATTGAGCAAACGGCTTGCTCAATTGTCCGAACTGCTATCTCAAAAAATCCTTTTTTACTGGGCTTTCGCATACTGCGCTATATAACTAATGCTTTCCCCTTCTGACGTCACGGAGAGGAAAGCATTACAGCGGTTCCACATGGGAGCAAAGTCGCCTCGTCGCAACCGCTTTTGCTCCCATGTGGAACCGCTGTTAGTTAGATGGCGCAGTGGGGGTAAGGCAAAGTAATCGTCGCAGCGATTTTTCTCTCTTGTGGAACCGCTGTAATAGTTTCCCCTCTGTGTCGTCACCAAGGGGTGTGGTTTGTGAAGTTGGAATGGAGGGATTACGACATTTTCAACGACTTCGTGATTGTAAGGTAACTGTAAGTTTAAAGTAAGATTACAGTAAGTTCACATGGTAAGGGTAAAATATTAATAAGTTAGATTAAACAATATTTGTGTGCAGTAAATTTTATTAAGCAAAATCTTGTCGAAGTCTACCACATGTATAAAAAATACATCACTTAATGAGAAAACATAAATCTATTGATTTAACCATTGATTCCTAAATAAACAGCCCCTCCGTTTATTGTGTAAGGTATAGCAGGTATATATATATATATACGCAGGTATAGCAGACATTTTAAGTTTACCTTTAATCTACCGATGTTGTCAAATGTTTCAGGGTACGAATTAAAAAGTAATAATTTTTGTTTTGACTTGTTCCGTTTAACATTAGATCATCTTTAATAAACTTAATTTTACATTTCATAAAAACTATGTAATTTCTATTTATGAAATAACTTCTAATGAGAAAAATTCATAATAATTATTTCGACTTTTAAGAATGAAAATTTTTATATTAATAATTAATGAAAATTGTTTTGTTTTTCAGACTGATAATACGACAGCATTTCTTCGTGCTGCTCGCTCTGGTAATCTTGAAAAAGTGATTGAATACCTTGATACCGATCTGGACATTAATACAGCTAATTCTGTACGTAATGTGATCAAAGTAAAATAATTTTTAAATAAATGTAAGGTTATTGCCAACCGCCCTACGTGTCCCATGATTCCAATTTTACAAAAATTGTGTCTAATGTCTAATTAGTATATAATTTTTTTGTACTTGGATCAGTACGAGAAAACACATTCAATTATTTTATTTCGGTTAACAAAATGTTCAGCTATCAACACCAAATTACAAGTATAATATCATCGGCTGTCTAAACGCGTACTGCCAGACAAACTTCCCTATTGATACAAGAACTTGATTTTAATTCTGGTGCTGAAATTATACATTTTCTTGTACATATTCTCCCTCCTGTTAGATTCATTTCATTGACAAATAAGTTCGTAAACTTTCTAAACGAATTTATCAGTCTCCGATGGCTCAGACGCTTAAGGCGTAGAGTTTGAACCCAACGTATCATGAGTTCGATCCCAGGTCCGGGAGGATTTTTTCATTTCTAATGTCTGTATGAGCGTGTAAAAATAAAACAAAAATCAAAATAAAGTCGAAATTTAAGTAAGATGATAATAATTAATTATCATCAAAGTCTTAGAATGTCCGCGGGCAAAAAAAGACGTCCCGGTGCCCACTTGGTTCCCTCAGCATCTTTAACCTCGCGTTTATTAATTATTTGATAAGGTAAAAAATGTTTATGTCACACCACTAATCCACTTTTTAAAATAAAATCTGCTCTAGGAATAGCTTTCTCCCATTTTTTTTATTTCTTTGTTCTTTGGGACTGAAAAAAGATTCACTTTTTCTTTACAAGAATCATATCCCGAATTAATAATTTTATATCAACGTATTTAATAAAACTTTTTGTTGCTCTTTATTGACAGTTTACAGCCAAAAACTATATTCAGCTATATTCCTGTCAGCCAGACGAATCGGAGCGCCGTCCTATCGGTTTAATAAAAACACAACACAAATTTCATCAAACTTTAGACTGTCACTTTAAACACAGAAATATTTGGGTATGCGACACGACCTACTTCGTCGTTAACCTAGAGAAATCCCAACTGTGAGTGGTTTAGCACATAAATCCGTGAATATAAATTCTGTTCCTATAATTTAAAATTTGATATTTTTTATTTAAAAAATTGTATCCTAGAACAATACCAATATTAAATTTATTTTTTAGCATAGAATGACTTATCATAATTCTTACCTACTGTGAAGTGAGCGGTAACTCCCAAGTAGGACTTCATTGTACTCGTATGTGTCCATATATCTGCAGTCAAACAAATTGACTCTACACTGGAAAGCATTGATCCAAATCGTTCCTTAACTACCTGATATTTTTCATTTATCTTTTTAGTTATAGTGGACTCAGAAGGTAAATGATAAAGCTGTTGGAAGTTTTCGTACAAATGCTTTAAAACCTGGTCTTCTAAACACTTATCCATTAGTCCAAATGAAGGAGATGAGCTACAAGCTCTAGATGAAAACAAAACTGATTGTAGTGGTTCACTTGATGAAGTTGAAGCAACTTCATTATCATTTGCAATCTTCAAAAAATAATGCATATTTTATCATATTCAAAAGAAAATATTAACACTATTCTCTAAATTCGAATAAGTATATGTGTACTTATTTTAAGTCATCATTGGAAATGATATATCAACTTCCTCCTCTAACGAAGAGACCTGTGACGTTTTGAAGCCTTTGACGAATGTCGGCATTTATTTGTAAACAATAATTTCATGCGCAGATCGTAAATTGTTGGCTAATGATGACGTACTCTTATTGTATACTAATATTTTGTCACATTTATTGCACTGCACTTTTGTATTATTTAAATTTTTTTCAAAATACTCCGGAAGCGCACTTGGTGCTATTATATAAACGAAATTTTTTCACGAAGAGAAGATAGTTCAACACTTTATGACTTTACCATAAACTCGAACTGCGTGTCTAGCAACGCCGGCTCGACGAATCACTGTGTTGAGAAACGTTGCTATCATAAAGTAGATTTCATTGGCTGTTTACATGATAAATCAGCAGCGTTCTAAATATATTAAGTCTAATTCACAACTCGGAAATAATAAAAGCGTTAAGAAAGTTGACATTATCAGTTTTATTTTCCGCAAATACTTTTTTTTATTAAAAATCGATCAAAAGTCGAGCATGAAAGTCGATTTTTTATAGTTGAAGGTCAATTACATAAAATCGACTTTTAAAATGAGAAAGTTGATTTTAATCTAAACTCAAAGTGGACTTCACCAACCCTAGTCGAATCCAATGAAAAAGTGGTCAAGAATTTTAATCTGATTTAGAAGTTCTTTTTGAAAAAATGGAGCTATTCCGTAAACTACACTATAAGCTATTCTTTATCTGAAAAAAAGAACATTATTCTCAGCTTTCAATAATGAAGTGTGGTTCATAACCGTTTCGAAACACCAAAGAAATTCTGCTTCAGTGAAAAATTTAATCCTTCACTACATAAAAAACAAGCAGGTTCTTCGACAAACGAGTATCACTTAGCATTCTGAAAGGTCGTCTGACTTGGCGTGTTACATACAATAATCCAAAAATTAAGAAAATAGAATAAAAATAAAGGGGCAATTATATAAATACAATAAATACCCTACTATTAATTCCTATATGAGATCCTTTATAAGATCGCTTATGGTTTCCTATATGAGATTCTATACGAAATTTTATAAGGACATCTCGTGTGAAAAATCTCATTAGTGCCCATATAGGATTCTATATAGGATCACATATAAGGTTGAAATTTGAAAAATAAAATTTGTGAATATCTCAAAAACGATAAGAGATACGCAAAATCGGACAAAATTTTGAGTTCATTTTATATAAAGCAAAAATATTTTATGTTTAAAACCTAAAATATGTCTAATATTTAAAAATAAACTACTACATATTCCCATGTGGGATCCTATGTGAGATCTCATATAGAATTCTATATGGACACTCATGAGATTTTTCTCATATGTTTCCATATAGGATTCTCGTAAGATCTCATGTAGTATCTCATATTAGAAACCATAACTCAACTTATACGGGATCTCATACGGGCATTTACAATAGGGTGTGTGTAAAATCAACGAAAATCATCACAAATTTCTATTAATCTTTTTATATTAACGGGTATATAACATCACCTCAAATATTTTGAGCTGATCAAATCAATCTATTATTATTTAACAAAAATTGTGAAATTTTTTATATTTTTCACTCACAATTACTTAAATAAATATACTTTAAATATGTTAAATAAAATAAAACAAAAATCTGTTACAATGAATTAATCTGTTTCCTTGAATTGATTCAGCTTAATAAATTATTTTGATCTGATATTTTGTAAAAGCACTACATGAGACAATAATTCTACAAATAAAACTCAAATACTTACCAAAGTACTTTTTTTATCCAAAAAAATCGAAATGAATCCAATAGTTTTTGAAATAACACAAGACACCACATGTGATGATAAGTTCTATTAATGTTTTTTAAAAGTGCAGTTATCTGCGCTACTTAATCTCGAATAGATCGATCATTAATCTAACTTACTTTTCGCGCTACTTTTAAATTAAGCTTATCTACATGATTCCCGGCTATTTCCTGATTTTCCCGGTTAGTAGACGCCCTGCTTTTGTATTTAATTTAACAATACTGAGATGATACTATATGAAATCTCATCTCGTGGAAGCACTAAACAGATTATTATTTAGTTCAAAAATAATTACCAATTGATAAATTCATAATTCGAAACTAAATTTAATAAATAAAGCAGAATTAGATCCTTCTTCACTTTACTTAGACAATAACAATTGTTTCATTCCGTCTTTCTCTAACATATGCAAAAGAAATAGATAAAAAACCAATATGGTGGTCACAAGAAGGCTCAGGGGTGGGTCAGTTTTGCGTGACTTCTTATCCCAATAGACATTGAAAAGGCCTTTAACACAATATGGTTAGACGGACTTTTTTTTAAATTATTTTAAAAAATTCCTTTCCACTTTATAAAAACCATCTGGAACGCATGATATATGACAGAAAATTTACAATCACAGACGCGGCTTGAGTACATCCCTGAAAATATTCAATGTAAATATTGGCCTTTAACAAGGAACAGTCTAGGGACTTATCTAGATGAGTAATTAAAATTTACTTATTCGTAAGACAAAACCAAAAATGTGATTTTTTACCATGAGAACCAATTTACCAGTTTAGATATTATATTAAATTTTGTATTTTTAAAAATAATTACTATTTTCTTAGGCAATGTTGATGCTCTGACCAATACTTTTTGAACGACAAATAAAACTTTTTGTTAAATTTTTTTAGTTTAAAAATTTTCCCAAAAAAAACCCCCCGTCTCAACCTGCATACATCTCCCCTATCAAATTTGATATAATAATAGATTGGAATTTATTTTTTAAAAAAACTTAAACCAAGTAAAGGAGATACAATGTATAAATGAAGGATATAAATGAAGTTCAAAAAATTGAGTAATTTATTTCTTTTTATGAAAAGGCAGAAATTCCTTGATCAAATTCCATTTTTTCCTTATTACCGGGTTGAACCTTCGGTATCAGGAGTTAACATTTATCAAATGGATACTTTTGTCTATAGTTAAGTTTTTTCACATTCTAAAATAATTTCTCACTCAGGACCTATAAGAAATCTAAACTTTCGTAAAATAACGGACACCCTAATAACTATCTTGTATCATAAATTTTATAACACACTGTCACCAGTAGACATGAACTTTTTAATATAGTTATAAGAACGTTTTTTGAAATTTACAACAATTTACAATCTAAACTTTGAGGTTGGCAATCCTTAATAAATGTCATTTCGAGTAAATGTTTTTGATTGATAACTACCATCTTTTTAGAATGACTTGAACGCTTTACACTTAGCGTCCAAAGATGGCCATGTGGAAATAGTTACAGAACTTTTAAAGAGAGGTGCTAAAGTCGATGCAGCTACAAAAAAAGGAAATACTGCCTTACACATAGCTTCATTAGGTAATGTATTTTTTACATTATTTAAACATCCATGTTATTAAAATGTTTCAGAACATTATTTGCCGGTTTTTTGTCTACTGGGCTGTTTATAGGTTTATGGTCTTTAGTTGAAATAAACATAAAAGTTCATTTTTAACATGACCTGCAATGTATTTCAAACTAAATTAAAGCTTTTAATTTACAGCTGGTCAATCAGAGACAGCAAATATACTTATTCAATATGGAGCACAGGTCAACATTCAGTCTCAGAATGGATTTACACCGCTATATATGGCTGCACAAGAAAATCATGACAATGTTGTTAAGATTCTACTAAATAATGGTGCTAATCAAAGTCTGGCAACAGAGGTGTGTGGTTTATACAGTCTTTATTTCACTAGTCTTTATAAAATGCCATGATTGAACCTATATATGGACATATTTATATCCTACTCTTATTGTAGTATTGACGCCTGGGTTATGAAATAACCTTAATTTCTTAAATCCGAATTGGATTTTCATAGAAAAAATAATACGAACCCAATACGTTTACTTATGACATACTTATTGATTTAAAATTAAAAATATTGGGATTATAATTTTATATTTATTCTATTATATATAGTATATTATATTTAAATTGTTATTTATTACAGGATGGCTTTACCCCTTTGGCTGTTGCGATGCAGCAAGGGCATGATAAAGTAGTTAGCGTTCTTTTAGAAAATGATTCCAAAGGGAAAGTAAGACTTCCGGCACTTCATATTGCTGCTAAAAAAGATGATTGTAAAGCTGCAGACTTACTTCTTCAGGTATAATTTTAAGTTTTTATGTTGCTGCCATAAAATGTATAATTTTTTTATATCTTACATAAATAAGTGTTATTAAAATATCTCATGTATCTATGTAGATAATATAATGCTAAAATGGTTTCAGAATGACCACAAACCAGATGTTACATCGAAAAGTGGATTTACTCCTCTTCACATAGCTGCACATTATGGCAATGAAGAAATTGCGAAGTTGTTGATAAAAAGAGGTGCTGATGTGAACTATCAAGCAAAGGTGAGAATAAGAAAATTTTTAAATTAAACTATTTATTTTAAATGAAGTAACCAATTAAAAGACTTCAGTAGAAAAAGATTTATTAAGGAAGCCATTTGGATAATAATTCAAGCCGTCTGCTCAATAGTCTAAAAAACATCTCTTTTCATGCAGACTCGCTTGTATTAAACTGTGACGAAATTATTTTGCAGTTTAATATCAGTCCACTGCATGTAGCTGCAAAATGGGGCAAAAACAACATGGTAAAAGTGCTTCTAGAAAATGGAGCAGTCATTGAAGCAAAAACCAAGGATGGATTGACACCACTCCATTGCGCTGCAAGATCCGGACATGAAGAAGTTGTTTCCACCCTTTTAGAAAATTCTGCACCTATCAGTGCACGATCAAAGGTAAGCGATTATTAATTATTTTTCAGTACTTTAGTGTAAAGCATTCTGCTTCTGTTACAGACAATTATCAATTTTCTGAAATTCGGAATATGAATTTAAAATTAATATATTTCTTTTAGAATGGATTAGCTCCCTTACATATGGCATCGCAAGGAGATCATGTAGATGCTGCGAGAGTTTTATTATATCATCGAGCCCCTGTTGATGAAGTAACAATAGATTATTTAACTTCTCTACACGTAGCAGCTCATTGTGGACATGTCAGAGTAGCTAAACTACTTTTGGATAGGAAAGCAGATCCTAATGCTAGAGCCTTAAATGGGTTCACTCCATTGCACATTGCATGCAAAAAAAATCGCATTAAAGTCGTGGAACTTTTAGTAAAACATGGTGGATCTATTGAGTCAACTACAGAAGTAAGTCATTTTTTTAGTCACATTGTTTCAAGCATTTTAGTTCTCTTATAAAACAATTTAAAATCATTCTTGACGATCAATCATAACTTCGACATAAGTGAAAATATGTACGCAATAAATTTATTAATTAATTAATTAAATTTATTAATTGGGGGTTTTAAGATATAAACATAGTTATATTTTGAATATTACTCGTTTTCTTTCTAGTCTGGACTTACACCATTACATGTTGCAAGTTTTATGGGATGTATGAATATTGTTATATTTTTACTTCAACATGAAGCTAACCCGGATGTTCCCACTGTTAGAGGTGAAACGCCATTACACTTAGCAGCTAGAGCAAAACAAACTGACATTATCCGCATTTTACTAAGAAATGGTGCAAAAGTTGATGCTCGTGCCAGGGTAAGTTTGTCGTACGTTACTTATTTCCATGCATACTTTCAAGAAAATTATAGAAGATGATTCTAAATGTGAACTGTTTAAGTACCAAATTTAAAAACCTTGGACTGTAGTATGAAGCTATATTTAAAAATTGTAAACCATCTCATTTTGGCGTAAAGCAGAAAATCATAAGCTTTCTTTCTTCATGTGATTTCCCCTAAGCATAAAAATCATTTTAAGGGCTGGAATATCACAGTCGAATTTTGTAAAAGAAATCAATTTTGGATTTAATTTCTTAAAGCAAAATATTTCTGAAACATTTCTTGAAAATTTCAGACTAATTCTATATCAATGTTAATAAAGTACGTTATCCGTTGACTTGTAATGGGTCGTAAAATTTTAAATTTATAAGACAACATTCGTCAATCTTTTAGCTTCAACGGCTAAACATAGTAAAGTCATGTTCTATTTGCGTATAATAATATAATTTTTTTAATAGGAGCAGCAAACCCCATTACATATTGCTTCACGATTAGGAAACCTTGACATAGTAATGCTATTACTACAACATGGTGCTGATGTTGATACGACTACAAAGGATATGTACACAGCTTTGCATATTGCAGCAAAAGAAGGACAAGATGAGGTAATGTACAAAGAATTCTCCGAAATAGCGGAACACATCAATGAGTTAAATATGCTGTATCTTTTTTGTGCACGGCACCGTGAATATTTAATTTAAGCTTATCGTCTTTTAAGCACATTTTGTTAATTTTTATTTTTTTTGTTATTATTTCGTGATCATTGTTATTTTGTAATTTATTATTCACGACTTACAATTTTATAAAATTAATTATTATTTATTGTATACCTATTAATAAAATGACGTATGTTGAAAATATTTATTGTACACGATATTTGTATTGTATATGTACTGCAAGGCATGTGAATCAATATTTTCTATTTCTGCACTTGTAAATTGTTACGTGTTTCATATTATTTTTATGTAAATAGACTGAGAGTTTTATATAATTATGTATACATTTTTAATACTGAAAAAGTTGTTCTATTTAGATATTATTTAAGATATTAGTATCTACACGTAATCAATTAATGCCACTTATTTGCAAACCGGGGGGTGCATGATTATTCCATAATGTGAATCATTTAGAAATTTTATTTTATAGAATTTTATAAGATAGAATTTTACTTTATTCGAATTAATGTTTAAAAGAATTTAAATTAACCAGAATTTATATGTAATCAAATTTTTATTTCTACCATTTGATTATTCGACTATTGCTTCCTCGTGGAGGAAGCTTTGTAGTCCTTTCGTTTATAAAACTTTTCAAAGTGGCGGAAACAAATTTTTTTCTTTATAGAAACATATTATATGAGATCCTGATCAATTGTCCGGATGTATGTGTGTGTGTGTGGATCTCTTTTTTGTTTAGAAGATAACTTTAACAGGTATTAATGGATTTAGATAAAATTTGGCAGACTCATTTATTATATTAATATCTCAAATCTGACCAAAAGATTTTAAAAAATACCCCAAAAAAAAATTTTTATCGTCTTTTTTCCAAAAATTTTTTTTTAATCGAAAAAATTTTTAAATAGAAAAATTTAAGGTTATATGTAATAAAATCGTATTCCTTACGTCAAGACGAATCGATCGATATATATAAAGTATACATTTGAGGTAAATTTAAAGAATTAATGAAAGTTAAAAAATTCACATTTTGGCAATAAAATTTTGCTTTCTCCACGAGGAAGCAAATTTTTTTGCTGATCGTAAAAATGAAGCAAAATGTTCATGTAATGAACATCTGAATTTACAACTTGTTTGCAATATAAGATAAATAAAAATTCTGTCTTTTAAGATTTCTATTAAATGGCATTTTGTGTTAATAAAAATTCGGACAAATGAAGATTTGGTTTAATGGAAATTCTGGCATTTAAAAATTAATAAGAATTCCGATAAATAAAAATTTGATTATTTAGAAATTCTGTTAAGTATAGATTTTGATTAACTTAAAAATTAATTAAATTAATTTAATTAATTTTAAATTCTATTAAACATTAATTCGAAAAACACAAATTCGAATAAAATAAAATTCTATAAAATGAAATTTTAAAATGATTCACATTATGGAATAATCATGCGCCCGCAAACTAAATACAAAAATATTACATTGTATATCAAGGACAGGAAAAAGCGAATGCCTCAAAGGTAGGTTTAAAGAAATTGATGGGACCAGGCCCAGCTGAATATCTTCCCGGATTTTTTAGGCAAAAATACATGTAGAGATTTGGAACGATTTCCTTAGAATTTGAGTAAAAATGAAATGTTACAGGATAATGTCCACGCAGTATCCACAATTATAAATTGATAAACTTCTTACAACTACACCTAGTGAGCACAGGGACGTCTAAAAGACGTCTCATATTGTCCGCGTACATCCTCGGAGAATAATAGTATAGTCTCGGAGACGTCATAAAGAAGACTAAAATACGTCTATAGGACATTCTATGTCTGGCCCTGTGATATTGATATTGAGCGGAATATTCCTGTGATATTGAGAGAATATTCTTGTGATATTGAGAGAATATTCCTGTTATTTATAAAATTCTAAAATGTTGTTTGTTTTGAATATTTAAATAAAAAATTAAATAAATGGAAAAAAATAGAAACATTTTTTTTTAGAATTTTTTAAATTATCTCATCAATATCACTGGAATATTCCCTCAATATCAAAGGACTATTCTATCAATATCACAGGAATATTCCGCTCAATATCACAGGGATCATACAAATATCACACGAATGTCACAGGAATATCACCGTGGAATGTCCCCATGAAACGGAAATTATGATATCGCCTGACATTTAACCAATATTCTGTGCTACTTGGGAATATTTTCGAAAATAACTTATTTTTCCTTCCAAATCTAGTAATTAAAAACATTATTTCCAAAATTTGTATAAAATCAGAATTGAGCGGTACTAAAATCGTACCGTTTTTAAAATAGTACTCGTTGTATTTCGCTGCCTCGTCCTCAAGATCAAATATTTAGTAATGCTGTACTGATCGCTCCATCACAGTATTTTTAAATTCAAATATTTTTCGCGCCGCATTCCCGTGGTGGCGCCTCTGTTATTGCCTTCCTCGTCTCTCGTCATCTTACTTTGTTCATTATGTTTTACTGTGCGCTCCATGACACACGTGTTTAGGAAGAAGTAGTTTTAGTAATTAAAAATGGGTTTATCAGAGTCCGATCAGTCTGATCACAGGAGAAGAAAAAAACGACAACGATCAAAGGACGACATTCTGCATCAAGTGAAGAAGCTAAAAAAGGAGATTAGGAAGGTAAAGAAAAATAAAAGAAGCAAGAGGCGCGAGTCTGACTCATCATCCGAATCATGCGGTTATCGGCTCGACGGACCTACGTCAAGATATAGAAAACGATCTCGTAGTAATAGCACAGAGCGTTACCGAAGAGGAAAGTCTAGCGATCATAATTCGAATTCCGAGAGTGATAACAGCGACGACCGTTACTTGAGATGAACGTCTCGCAAATCTTTGTCCCCACGGAGACCAAGCAAAGAACGGCATCCACGAGAGTCGCCACGTGAAGGTCCATCGGTGGAGGCCCCTGAAGAGCGTCGCCCGCGAGGCACGTCGATTTTCGCAGATCCCTACTGAAAATCCCTGTATAAGATCTTGTACAACTTCCTGTACAGGATCAGCAACTGAAGTTGTACAAGTTCTGACCAGTTCCTGTACAGGAAAATGCATACGAATTTGGAACAAGTTCATGTGTGAGATCTTGTACAAGATCTGGTGCAAGATCTAGTACAAGAAAGATGCTTGCACAAGAAAATGTTCATGTACAATTTCATGTATAAGTACTTGTACATGAACACGTCCATGTTCTTGCACATGTTAATTCATGTTTTTCTTTACTAAAAATTAAAAACTTCAAAGGCTGCGCAATAATTTACTTATAATTTAATAGTTTTTAGCATGCATGAGTTACGAATCTTAGTGGTTAAAAATTATCAAAATCTCAAATTTTATTAAAAAAAAAATTTACAACTATTTCATTTGCAAGAACATGAACGTGTTCATGTACAAGTACTTATACATAAAATTGTACAAGATCATGTACATTTTCTTGTACAAGTATCTTTCTTGTACAAGATCTTGCACCAGATCTTGTACATCTCACACATGAACTTGTTCCAAATTCGTATGCATTTTCCTGTACAGGAACTGGTCAGAACTTGTACAAGTTCAGTTGCTGATTCTGTACAGGAAATTGTACAAGATCTTATACAGGGATTTGCAGTAGGGATGGACATTCCGAAATTGTGACGCCGGCAATATCTAATGTCCAGCAAGAAAAACGTGGAGATGCGGAACAGGGGAAAGATGACAATCCCGAAGTGAAATCAATCATGGGAACTACAGGTATTAAAAGAAACCACTACCAAGTCTTATCACAAAACCAGTTGGGAGCAGCATTGAGTGCTCAAGGTTTTGTATTGAATGGTCTAATAGAAGCTCGAAAAGTCCACAAAACTTTAACATCGACGAAACTTTAAAACTATTCTCGGAGAGGCGGGAACAATAATGAAAGATCTTCACAATGGTTTCTCAAAAACAAGGAGAGCTTTTATCGTTCCGGGAATGGATTTAACTGGAAAACAAATTGTCGAAGACTGTGTCGAGGACACGTCAACAGAATACATCTGGTCCCGTTAAACAAAATAATAATCATATAAACTGGAAGGGCCCTCCGAAAAGGAACACGACGTTTTCTAAGATGGGACGGCCAGCCATGTACCCGAATCGCTACCAAATGTTTCAGCTCCAGAAGAATTAGAGGTATGTGAAGTGGACGGACGCCTAAAATTTTTTTTACATCCTTGGAGAAAAATAACGCTTAAAAGTACCATTTTGAAAAATGTATCAGGGTATAAAATCCCATTTAACTCAAAACCTTTTCAAAATAACAAACATTCTAGTCCTTGTCTGTCTGTCGTAGAGTTTCAAGAAACTAAAAATGCAATTATGAAACTTTATAACGAAAAAGCAGTAACTACCTGTAGTCACAGTAACAAAGAATTTATTTCTCCCTATTTTTTATGAGAAAAGAGTAACGATGATGACATGTTCATTTTGAACCTAACAGGGTTAAATAAATTTATTACCCCGCAACATTTCAAAATGGAAAATGTTAAAACCGCACTAAGATTAATGACTGCCGATTGCTATCTCTCCTCAATAGACTTACAAGACGCAAATTTGACAATCCCAATAGCGAAAAAATTTAGGAAATTAGTTCAAACTAATATCTCACAATCATATCAAAATGTTTTCGAAGTCGCTGATTACGAATATGAAGTCAGATTTTAAAAATTCAAAATAGCGGATCCAATATGGCAAACGACAAAAATAAAAATTGATCGGATTCGCTTGAAATTCATTATTTGGGAGTTTTAAAGGTCGCTGAATTCGAATCTGATGTAAGTTTTACAAAACCCAATATAGCGGACGACAAATTAAAGTTGATCGGATTTTTTTCTTAACATTTCTGTTAAAATAAATAAAAACCAAAAAAATCTAAAAATACGAAAAAAATTTTTTAAAATAAGGAGTGTAAAATTCTGCCGCACACCTCCACGTGGTACACTCTGGGGTTGTAGATAACTGTTAAACCATTTACTAGCAAATTGCGGGGGTTGAATTTTATAGTTATTTTTCTTATTTAACATTTATATTATTGATTTTCGCCATATTTCATCTACTGTTTTTAATTTCTAAAATCTAAATTTGAATTTAGATGACATTGAAAACCTTTGAGTAATAAGTTTTAAGTAATGTCGATTGCTTTTTATTTTTTCTGTCCGCCATATGGATCCGACATTTTGAGTTTTGAAAAATTAATATCAGATTTGTAATCAGCGACCCCAAAAACTCCCGAGTAACGTGTTTCAAGCAAATCCAACGAATTTAGAAAAATATGTCCGCCACATTGGATTTGCCATTTTGAATTTTGAAAAACTATCATCAGATTTGTAATCAGCGACCTGAAAAACCTAAGTTCACTCATTTTAAAAAATTTTGATGGTAAAAAAGTTTCTTAACATTTTGGACCCACATTGAAGATTTTGCTCCTTACGGCGAAGGGGTTAATCAGCAACCCAAATTTTGTGTGGCCAAAACATTACAAGAATACATTAGACGAACAGCAGATTTACGAGGAGACGTCTCAAAACTCTTCATAACGTTTAAGAAACCGCATGGCGCGGCCCCACGCAGACAATCAGCCGCTGGATTAAGCAGAGTTTACAAAAAAGTGGCATCAATATTACCAAATTCTCTGCATACAGCACGAGACGTGCCTCGACCTCAGCAGCGGCTAGGAAATGCATAAATGTTAAACTGCTCCGACAAACGGCGCGATGGAGTCAAAATTTAACCATGTTCGGCAGATTTTACAACAGGCCACTCGTTCAGTCAACTACCTTCGCAAACGCAGTGTTAAACACTGGAAATCGGAGAGTCTGATATTAATTTGTTAAAAAAAACTTTAACTTTATAATATTATATATTTTCATGTTCTTTAAACTTACATACTTATGCAATTAAACTCTTTCAAAATCTTTAATTTTGTAACTCTCAATAATGAAAACAAAAGAATCAATTTTTTGTTCACATAAATAAAAAAAAATTTCTTTTAAATAGTAGACAACTTTACTGCCGTCCAAAGTAAAAAAGCCGTAAACAACAATGTTTTTATTGTTAATTAAATACTTTTTTTAATTTGTACGGCAGTTTAAACATCTACATATTTGATCTTGCGGACGAGGCAGCTCACAAAATTATGATTGAACTTCACTCAGGTACGTTCGTTCAATCTATTAATTTTAAATCGTCCACTTTTTTACATATGATGGATTTCACATCAAAAGTCCAGGCAAAAAAAATTTTTTATCCAATCTATCCCCAATTTTTTTTTGAGTTGTCCTATATGTTGGTAATTTATCAGCCAAGTATTTTTGAATTTTATAAAAAATTAGCAGTTGGGAGAGGGGGTAAAAGTTTTGAGTTTTCCGCTGACACGCCATACTTTGTTTATTTATTATAATTAAACGAAAAAATAAAAAATAATTTCTGGACATGATTCCTTTAGAATTTTTTATAACCTTTCGATTGGCGTAGTCCATTTTGCAAAAAAATTTTTTTGACCAAAATTTTTGAAAATTAAAAATAAATTTTGATTTTTTTCATCTTCGGGAACGTTTTTTTTTTATTTTATTTTTATTGGAAAGATGAGATTTTTTCCCACAAAATACTTAATTTTCAAAAAACCGTTTTTTTTTGTTTTCGAGAAATGAAATTTTGAAAATCGCGCTGCAAGTCAACCTGAAGCCACTCTGCCTCGCGCCACTCTATTCAGCAATGTGCGTAAATAGTTTCTTCGTGATTTTTTTCCGCAATTTCCGTATACCAACAGAATAGAAAGAAAATTTGATGAAATTTTAATTTATCATTATTATAACTTTAGAAAATGGTTAATTACTTTTTTTGTAATATTATAATTTAATTCTCTCATATAATATGTAATAGTAAAATAATATTTATTAAAAAATTAAAATTGAAGAATTTCATTTATTTCGAAAATCAGTAGTACCACAAGATGCAGATGTCGCTGTTTAAAATGGCGGTAAATTTAATTTACAAATTTAAATTAACTTTTAAAAAATAAATATTATAATAATTAGAATATAATACGTATATCATTTTTCGTGAAATTTTCATTCAAAATTTTTTTCGAATTCTATATGGGAAAAAAGACATACGTATTTTTTTATTTGATGAAAATTATAAGTTATGATTTTTTAAAATTTCGACACTTTTGAAACGCGTTTTTCTCTGTTTTACTTGAAGATTAAAGATAAAATAATATGTGAAAATTATTCGTTTTTTCTTGAATATTTCAAATATGTAATAAAAAAAGTAACGTTAATTATAGGAAAACGTTTAAATATTTATTAATTAGTAAATTAAATAAAAAATAAATTATTAAGAATGTTAGGCACTATTTTTGGAAATTAATCTTAAATACTAATGTTGGTAAAAATAGAACAAAAATTCTGTAGGTAGTATTGAAATATATTTATTCAAAATGTATTAAATAATAAGAAAGAAATTTTCTTGAAATCGCAGATTTCGATAAAAATCTTACATATTTTTTTTAAATGTATTACATATTATTATTAATGAAAACAGAAAATATACAATGAAATATCTTCTAATAACGGATTCTTAACAAATGAATCCTTTATGATAATGTCGAATTTAAAATTTTTTTTCAACAAATACCATCTACAACTTTTATACTATTTTTAGTAGAAGTTATTCTTTTCAAATATTTATCAATAAATTAAAATACTCCCTTATTTTTTTCTTTAGGTTAAAAGAAATCGTTTTTAAATATAAAATTTAAAAGTATTAAATTATTCATTCAACATTTTTAACAAATATAGATATATGACGAACAAAGACTGAATAATTCGAACAAATAGAAACAAATAAACACCAAATTATACATCATATTTTAATTTATACTTTTCATAACGCGGTGCAAAAAAGAGGCACTTTTTTAGCACGCCGTGCTAAAAAGTGCGTTTTTTTGCACCTTGTCATGAAAAGTATCGTTCGTAACTTGTGTTAATATTTGCAGATTTTTGAAAAAGTGTTTTTTTTGGGACAAGCTGTAGGCAAAGCTTCGCTTCGCCTACAGCTCGTCCCAAAAAAAAACACTTTTTCAAAAATCTGCAAATATTCACACTCGTTACGAAATATACTATTTTAAAAGTAATCACTTTTCAAGTATACTGAACACAATACTTGAGAAATTCTAGAATTTGCGTCCCTGTAAAAAATGAATAATTATTGATAAAGTAAATAATATTTGTTAGAATTATAAATATATATATATATATATATATATATATATATATTTTAACATTCTTACCCATCAATCATTTAGAAACTTTTAAATTGCCAAGATGTTTGTAAATAAATATAAACTCATTGTCAGCAGAAAAATCACAAACAACATACAATTTTTTAAAATGAAAACTTGCGAACGGATTGTAATCATTGAAAATACAATTTGCAGAAGGAAATTTGTTATCAACAATTTCTTTATCTTGATTTCCCTCCATTTCATTGTAAGATGTTATCAACACTGGACATTGTCCTTTATTAAAAATTTCTATAGATTTTTCCCAAGATTTATAAGCGTAAAATCCTGGATTGAAGCATGCAATCATGTCTGGTTTCTCAAAATTTTAACTATCGCAGTATTTATGATATTCAATCATTATTGTTTCAATAATGAATTGTCTTTTATTTTTCTTGCAGAGTTTACATTGCTTTTGCATTTTAACACTACCCGGCGGAATAAATTCAAGTCCAATTAAAACAATTTTAAGTTTATTTAATTGTGTCAAATAATGCAATATTGCTTCCCAATCGTTAAAAATTTGTTCCTGTGATGATGCGCCAACAACATGAATTGTCATAGAATTCAAATTGAGACTCAATTTCTCCATAGCAAAAAGTATTGTCAGTGGAGAAGAATACTTGCTTGAAAAATAGGTATTAAATGCAACTCTCTTTTCTATAGAAAATAAGTGAAATGAAACCTTTGAAAAATATCGCTCGAAAAATTTAGTCATAGAATTCGGTAATTTTTCAAATTCAGTTTGTACAGGTAATTTCATCTCGTCTATTATATCCAATATCAATGGAGGAACAGTTTCATGAATTTCACATGGCAAATAAAGTATTGATATAAATTTAAAACATTGATTTTCATGACTTGGATCATTTATATGCATTTCACAAAAACTGGATTGAGGACATTTTTTGCAATTTGTAAGAAGATGAGGATTACATTCGAAGCAAACAGCACAAACTCGTGGAAAAGAAAACATTTGTAATTCATAATATTTCAATGGTCTTCCAAGTAATTCCACGGCTCTGTCTGATAAATCCTTCTAGAAAAACAAAAATTTATATTCAAGAAAAATTATTCCTTTTGAAAAAAAATATATGATTTTTTATGCTTACAATTAATTTAAGACCATTCATTTGACTTATTTTTTTAAATGACTTTCCAAACGTAGTTTCTAATCCCGTGGAGAATTTCCCTAAGAAAATGGAAAGCATTTCTCCTACTCCATTAAAAGTATTTGAAACTTTAAGTGATTCATATAAATTATTCACTTCCAATTCTTTCTTTATTTGACGTATGACTTTACAAATTTCTTTATGACTTGACCAATCCTTTAACTGATGTTCTTTAGAACAATAAGATATCATGTCGCAAGCACCACACCGTTTTAAATTAACTTTTTCGCCAAAACAATTGCAAACATGACATGCGTTTGGATAAAATGTTTTATGAAATATAGATTCAACATCTAACATGTTAAAAAAACTTGGATCAATTGATTTATAAAATTTGGCATATTCTTCATTATATGCCATTTTTGTTATTTCTAAGTTAACAAAAATAATATCAGAGAAAGAAAATTTAATATTCTTTCATTCAAATCTTAAACGAACACAACACAACAAGAACAAGACAATGGAATAATTCAGGCCAATTCTTGATACTATTCTTGTTACTAAATGTTTACTGTTTCCTGTTACTGATTTGTATATTATTTTACTTCTCAAATGTTCCCATGTTGTAAACTTTAAGTTGGTTCTACAATAAGCGCGTCGGACGTGGACGTGAACGTGTGCCTAATGAGAGAGAGGGGTATAGATGTACATCCGACGCGCTTATTGTAGAACCAACTTTATTTGTGTGTAGCCAGAAAGGAGGTTAGGGTGGGGAGGTTGGACTCATCAGGGACGTATCGCCTTCACTCAGCTCCCCCCCCATTCAGTGTTTGAAAATTTGATTATCAACCCGGTATATTACTTCTAAATGTATTGCTTAAATACTAGATACTTGTCTTATTTTGTATTTATCCATTCCTCTATTATTCTGTCATTTGTATGCAGCTTTATGTACTTAATTTCATTCTTAATTTTAAGTTTAAATTTTGGATTAATTAAGTTTCCGTGAATTGATTATAACTACTTGTACTTATGCCATTTGTAATTTTTGCATATTTATCTTAAATTTAAATTATTATTTATATTAATTATATACCTATATATATAAAACATTGTTTTTTTCTTTTCCTGAATTATTATGAATTAACCCATTATGTTCAATCAATTTGTGAATCTTTAATTATAACCCTGCCCCATTAAATTAATTATTTAATTATTTCGTTTATTTATTTTAATTAACTTTACTTATTTCTACCTTAACTAATTAAGTTAAATTAATAAACCCTCCACCCTACACAGCACCCAAAATTCCCTGAAACTTGACAGAACCTCACATGGCGAAGTTAGGAAACTTTAGTGGCAACCCTGCTGGAAGGGTGGTACTGGATTGGTACTGGAAATTTGGAACTGAGGGCTCAGTACCAAGTCAGTACTACTTTAGTGCATTTTGGTACTGAAATGGAACTAGGAAATTTACCTGCGAAAAGGATCGAGTTACCGTTAATACCCTCATAAAAATGAAAAGCGACTAGCTTTTTCAATATGTTTAAACTAATACTTTGTATTTATTTCAATATTATATTTGTTTTTCCTGGATTTATATTATTTTCATACATTATTATGCATATGATATGTCCTTTGGCAGCTAAATTCAAAAATTATGTCCATTTTTTTGTCAAACTTAAGGTATACGAGATAAATTATAACTTTTTAAAATGTAATAATTATTTTTTGATAAATTTTAGATATTCATAATCTGGAAATATTAACGAATCTCAATATATATTTTTTAAATTTGAGTTATTAAAATTATAAATTTTTTAACCCTCGAAGCACATACTGGGTCACACAGACCCTGTCATTAATTTCAATGAAGTGTAATTTGAAAAGTCGGCAATACAACACGAACCTAAGGCCATATAGTGGTAACTAACTAATAAGGAATAATAAGTAACATGATAATCCAAAGAAAATAATAAAATACTAGTAAATATGTTATTAAAAAAGTATAGTTTTAAAAAGTTGTGTCGAAAATCACATTTTTATCGTCTTAAAAGTTACCTTCGTTAAACTACAAAATAAATACCTTTTTTAAAAAATAAAATAAGGTGGTATTTTTTCTCTTATTCTAACACACTTCGAGAATATAAATCCCAATTTTTAGCTTAAAATATTAAAAATTACAAAAGTTACATTTTTTTTTAAATTCAATTTTTTCTTTTTAATTAGTTAACTTCACGAATTTTTGTTTTGTAAAGTAAACAGGGTCACAGCGACCCAGACTGTGCTACTTGTTCGAAAAAAGAGGTGTGTGCTCCGAGGGTTAAGCAATAAAACTTGGGTTAAAATTTTAATCCTTCAACAAAGGACCTAGGGGTCTATTGTTCAAGGAGGGATTGCAATATAATTTCCAAACTTAACAGAAATTTTCTACAAACTATTATTTTTTTTTTTTGCTGTTTTACACGTATATCGTGAGAGACGGTTTGTTAATCTTATATACCTTTAAACCTATTGTTAAAGTACTTTAAAAATGTCTTCTTATGGGTTATCAGGTAGTGGTACTGAAGTGGAACTCAAGCCAAGTACAATTCAGTACCATTCCAGTACCACTCTTTCGGTAGGGAAGGTTTATACAAGATTGTGTCGATGTTTAAATGTCCACATGAAAAGAATATTCACACGAAACTTTGAGGAAATATTACACATAAATATTCACGTGCAATGTTCAGTCAATGTTGTGTCAATATTGAAATTACATTTTCGCCTAGTTATAAAAATTTCATTTACTAATATAATAAGTATAGATAAATATTGACACAACATTAACTGAACATCGCACGTGAATATTTACAGTGTAATATTTCCTCAAAGTTTCGTGTAAATATTCTTTTTATGTGGACATTTAAACATTGACACAAACTTGTATGAACCTTGCCACTGAAGTTTCCTAACCTCGCCGTGTGAGGCTCTGTCAAGTTTCAAGGAATTTTGAGTGCTGTGTGGGTACTTACGCACATTGCTGAATAGAGTGGCGCGAGGCAGAGTGGCTTCTCGTTGACTTGTAGCGCGATTTTCAAAATTTCATTTCTCGGAACCAAAAAAAAAACGGTTTTTTGAAAATTAAGTATTTTGTGAGAAAAAATTTCAGCTTTCCAATAAAAATAAAATAAAAAAAAACGTGTCCGAAGATGAAAAAGATCAAAATTTATTTTTAATTTTCAAAAATTTTGGTCAAAAAAATTTTTTTTTCAAGATGGACTACGCCAATCGAAAGGTTATGGAAAAATCTAAAGGAATCATGTCCAGAAATTATTTTTTATTTTTTCGTTTAAGTATAATAAATAAACAAAGTATGGCGTGTCAGCGAAAAACTCAAAACTTTTACCCCCTCCCCTACTGCTAATTTTTTATAAAATTCAAAAATACTTGGCTGATAAATTACCAACATATAGGACAACTCAAAAAAAATTGGGGATAGATTGGATAAAAAATTTTTTTTGCCTGGACTTTTGATATGAAATCCATCATATAAGGATCTGTCTACTCTTTGAATGTCTAGAATATCTACTACCTAGCACTACTGTGGGTTATAATGAAATAAATATTTCGAATTTTAATGTTTACATCTAATAATATATTTATGATTATTTAAAATAAAATGGTTCTTTTCAATCTCTTAATACGTTTTTGTAATATTTTTTATTTTTATTTTACCACAAACATAGTACTGATTTCGTCTTTAAAATAATATAGTTATAGCTTGTTTCATAGATCATTATGATTTCTATAATTTTCATTACTTCCAGTATCTACTTTAGAATCATATTTTTATTTTATATCAATAATTGCGCAAAACGCAGCATGATCACATTAGTTAGTGTTTATTTTCTTGTATCAATAACTATTTTTTGACGTCAAGTGCACTGTTTGGCATCTAAGATTATTTGAATCAATTAAATTCCATATTTTATAAAGTAAGGAAAACTTCATTTTTAATAACATGAAGAAGAATGATTTAAAATATATTATCGTAATTTAAAGTGAACAATAAATGAAACCTTGCTAAAAAAAATTAATAATCTTTTTAATTGAAGAAAATTTTGTTTGTTTTATTGTCAAGTAGGTCAATCTGTGTAAACATCTAAAAAATCAATTTAAAAAAAAATTTGTATTAAAATAAAATATCTTAGAAATGTTTACCAGAAATTTTAAATTGCTTAGAAAAAAGCATTAAAAGGTAAATAACACAGGCACACAAAAAAAAGTTGTAAGGAAGAAAATTTAACAATCAATCCAAGTCAAGTCTACTTGACTTGGATTGATTGTTAAATTTTCTTCCTTACTATTCATTACACCAAGGGATAAATTCATTATTAAATTAATTAAAAAAAAAATTTGTCTGTTTCTTGAACAAGACATATATTTCCTATAGTATTTTGGACCGCTGAAACCGAATCTGAGCTCAGAATTGCTCCATCACCCTCAGTTTTTTTTTAAATCGACCAAAACCACCCTTAAACGGACAAATTCACACTTCGGAGATAAAAAAAATCAAATTATTTTTTAAAAAAACCAAATTTTACATCTACGAAACTTTGCTCCACTAACTCAAAAACAAAGCCAGCATTGATCCAGCACCCCCTGAATTTTTTTAATCGAAAAAACTACCCTTAATCTGAAGAACCAAATTCAGGAGATAAAACAATAAAATAACTGATTGACAAATTTTATAACCAGATATTTTTACTCCAGCAATGCAGAAACAAAGCCAGAAATACTCCCTCACCCTCTAAATTTTTTTTAAATCGAAAGAAACACCCTTAAATAGAAAAATTCAAATTTAATAAGTAAAAAATATTAAATTACCGGTTTCTTTAAAAACAGAACCTTACATGTATGTAGTTTTGCTCTACTAACTCAAAAAAAGCCAGCATTGATCCATCACACTCTGAATTTTTTTAATAAAAAAACTACCCTTAATCTGAAGAATCAAACTTAGGAGGTAAAACAATAAAATAACTGATTAAAAAAGTTTATAACCAGGTATTTTTACTCCAGCAATGCGAAAACAAAGCCAGAAATGCTCCCTTCCCCTCTAAAATTTTTTTAAATCGAAAAAACCACCAAAGAATTAAACTTAGGAGGTAATACAATATAATTATATAGTATTACCTCCTAAGTTTGATTCTTTAGATTAAGGGTAGTTTTTTCTATTTAAAAAAATTCAGAGGGTGATGGATCAATGCTGGCTTTAATTTTTTGAGTTAGAAGAGCAAAACTACATACATGTAAGGTTCTGTATTTAAAAAAAGCCGGTAATATAATATTTGTTTACTTCTTAAATTTGAATTTTTCTATTTAAGGGTGGTTTTTCGATTTAAAAAAAATTTAGAGGGTGAGGGAGCATTTCTGGCTTTGTTTCTGCATTGCTGGAGTAAAAATATCTGGTTATAAAATTTGTCAATCAGTTATTTTATTGTTTTATCTCCTGAATTTGGTTCTTCAGATTAGGGGTAGTTTTTTCGATTAAAAAAATTCAGGGGGTGCTGGATCAATGCTGGCTTTGTTTTTGAGTTAGTGGAGCAAAGTTTCATAGATGTAAAATTCGGTTTTTTTAAAAAATAATTTGATTTTTTTTTTATCTCTGAAGTGTGAATTTGTCCGTTTAAGGGTGGTTTTGGTCGATTTAAAAAAAAACTGAGGGTGATGGAGCAATTCTGAGCTCAGATTCGGTTTCAGCGGCCCAAAATACTATAGGAAATATATGTCTAGTTCAAGAAACAGACAACTTTTTTTTTGTGTGCCTGTGTAATCTTTTAAAATTTTTTTTTAATTTGAAGTAAGCTTTGTTAGTTTCCTTGTTAAATTCCTGAACTGCGACTCTAAAATCAGTTTTCACACAGTTTGACTTCCTTAAAAAAATACATGTTGTTTATTTCAATGTAGTATTTGAAATTTCCATAATTCACTATCAACAACCCTCAAAAAATCAACTCTGAGGATTTACTTTTATTCCATATCAACTACCCACATAGCACGACTTCTTGCTGTGAGGTTACTGTAAGGATATCTGCAGGGTTTGTAAGGTTACCGTGTAAGCCTACAGTAAACTTGAGGTCATCTTAAAACTTCCGCCATTACAGTAAGCTTACACAGTAAAGCTAAGGTAAGCTTACAAAGAAAGGTTGTGGTAAGTTTACATGGTAAGGTTGTGGTAAGCTTACACCATAAGGTTGTTGTAAGTTTCCCGTAAGGTTACTTACGGTTTATATTAATAAATAAATTTTATTAATATTTATGCGCAGTAGTTTTCTATGGCACATACGGCTGCGCAGTAAATTTTATTTAACTAACCCTATTGGGATTCATGAAGTACTTTACCAAATATATAATTTTTTATAAAAAAAAATTTATAATATAATTATTTTTGATATATTTTCTTATTACTCTATGTTTACAGTAACCTTACGGGAAGCTTACAACAACCTTACCATGTAAACTTACCACGACCTTATTGTGTATAAGCTTACCTTAGCTTTATTGTGTAAGTTTACTGTAATGGCGGAAGTTTTAAGATGACCTTAAGTTTACTGCAGGCTTACACAGTAACCTTACAAACCCTACAGATATCTTTACAGTAACTTCACAGCAAGAAGTCGTGCTATTTGGGTATATATTATACACGTATATATGAGAGATTCTTTTTCAATCGCCCCAGCCCAAAAAGTCAATGTTCTGGGATTGGCTACATACTTTGGTAAATTGTTGTCCTATATGATAGTAATAAATCCCTAAAATATAAACTCATTAAAAAAATATTTGTAGAAAGTAGAGGGGGTTGAAGTTTTGACGTTAAGGGTAACATTGTCATTTTCAAATCCGTATAACTATGACAAAAGTTAATGGATTTAAAATTATCCATAATGAATTTTAATGCATTTTTCACGTACTTTTCAAAAAAGTATACAAAATTTAAAAAAAAATTTTTGACCCCTTTTTTTCAAAATTAAGCCTTATTTTTCGATTTTCACCCCTTCGAGTGTTTTTTTTTTATTTTCATTGGAAAGCTGAGGTTTTTTCCCATGAGCTATGTAAATATGAAAATGGGACAACAATAATTTTGTGAGAAACAGAATATTAATGTAGGCGGTGCCGATAAGGGTGCAGTCAAGGGTAACATTGTCATTTTCAAATGCGTATAACTATAACAAAAGTTAATGGATTTTAATTTATCTATAATGAATTTTAATGCATTTTTCATGTACTTTTCAAAAATGTATACAAAATTTAAAAAAAAAATTTTTCACCCCTATTTTTTTAAAATCAACCCTTATTTTTTGATTTTCACCCCTTCGGGAATTTTTTATTTTTTTTATTTTCATTGGAAAGCTGAGGTTTTTTCCCATGAGCTATGTAAATATGAAAATGGGACAACAATAATTTTGTGAGAAACAGAATATTAAAGTAGGCGGTGCCTACCTAAATCCTCGAAGATGATCTTCAGGTATACCCGTTTTCGGCACCGCCTACATTAATATTCTGTTTCTCACAAAATTATTGTTGTCCCATTTTCATATTTACATAGCTCATGGGAAAAAACCTCAGCTTTCCAATGAAAATAAAAAAAAAACACTCGAAGGGGTGAAAATCGAAAAATAAGGGTTAATTTTGAAAAAAAGGGGTCAAAAATTTTTTTTTAAATTTTGTATACTTTTTTGAAAAGTACGTGAAAAATGCATTAAAATTCATTATGGATAATTTTAAATCCATTAACTTTTGTCATAGTTATACGGATTTGAAAATGACAATGTTACCCTTAACGTCAAAACTTCAACCCCCTCTACTTTCTACAAATATTTTTTTAATGAGTTTATATTTTAGGGATTTATTACTATCATATAGGACAACAATTTACCAAAGTATGTAGCCAATCCCAGAACATTGACTTTTTGGGCTGGGGCGATTGAAAAAGGATCTCTCATATATATTTAATAATTGAATATGTAAATCTTGTGGATAAAAATTACAACAGAATATTTATGCATTATTATATAAGTACCGTAAAATGGGGTAAAGTCGGCGTTTGCGGGTAAGGTCGGCCGGCGCTTTAAACACTTAAATATTGTATTTCATTTATTAATTTACATTAATTCTAACTACATTTTTAATAAAACTCGGATTTCTTCTGGAAAAAAGTAATAGTTAAACTTTAAAATGATTTAAAGCGCCGGCCGACTTTACCCCCAAACGCCGACTTTACCCCATTTTACGGTAAATCTTAGAATTATTTCGAAAAAAGGATTTAAATTTTTAAAGTAAGAGGGATTTGAAAATAATTACTATAATTGCTAAAAGATAAAAATCAACAAACAAAATTTAAACCACGTTACAAACGATCAAGCAAGTGATCTAGGTTAGCTGACTGATTCTATGCCATAAAATGGACAGACATTAAATCCTGGAGGACATTCTCGACGAACGATGCTTTAAGATCGTTTTAGTGCTTACAGATTCAAGTAGGAGAATAAAAGTTCAGACTGAGAGTTAGATTTCTAATAACTGCGATTGAAGAAAGCTTAATATCAAAAAGTAAAGTGAGCATGAGAACATGCCTGTAGTATCGGGTTTATCATTTAATTAGACCGGAATCAATTGCGATGCAGCAAGATTGTCTTTCAGTAACAAGAATAATTTTTTGGACTGATATTCTAAAGCAATAATTGTTTAGCAAACAAATTTATACAAGTGTAGATAGTATTTTATTCTATTTATATTAGGGTCAGTTGGGGTAAATGGGGCCAAGAGGTTTTGGAGCTTAATTTACAGTTTTAAAATTAAGTTCAACGTCAATATTTTAACCTCAGATCATCTGCAAGAGGTTTTGAGTATTGCCAAGCTTTTATCTTGACAATTGGCAGCAAGATAAAAAAAGTTATCGCTCAATGCATAAAAACTTGAAAATCAAAGTCAAACTGTTTGAGTATTTTGTCGAGCATTTCAAAGAAAACAGACTTAAAAATCATACCAAATTTTTTTCTTATTCCTTATGACTCCCGTAACAGAAATTCACTTGAATTTTTGATTTTTGTCAATTCCCCATTTACCCTGAGTTTTCAAATTTTTGGGGTAAATGGGGACAGCTTGTCATTATTAACCAAATTAACAAAAATAAAAAATTCAAGTGAATTTCTGTTATGGGAGTCATAAAGAATAAGAAAAAAATTTTGTATAATTTTTAAGTCTGTTTTTTTTCAAATGCGAGACAAAATACTGAAATAAAAAAAAATAAAAAAATTTCAATTGGTTCAACTATTATATATCTACTACAAATTTTTTTCAAGTTTTTTCATCCCGTAATACAGTAGTATACTTAAGGAAACTTTTTTCTTAAAATTTTCTTAGAAACTATGCTGTCCTTATTTACCCCAAATTTTATGAAATTTTCTAAATTTTGGGGTAAATGGGGACAGTCAGTTTCATGCGTTTAAAAATTATCTAAATTTTTTTCTGCTGCATAAAATCAATCCTGTAAATGTAAATAACAACTTAAAAAAAAATAAACCCGCAAATATTACCTTTTAAAGGAAGAAACTTACGTACTTTGTGAAAAAAAGCGATTTTGTCCCCATTTCCCCCGACTTACCCTATACTCTATAATTTCATGCTATTCTAAGCAAGTACCAAAACTTCTTGTAACTTTAAAGTATACTCAATCAAAAATTATTAAAAATCAAATGTAAAAGAGAATATAAAAAAAGGTAAGCATGTCATAATTACTATAATGGTTAGATTATATGATAATCAAATGTAAATTTTGAGTACCACATTGAAATGCAATAATTAAATTAACAAATATTTAATAAAAAATATATGTAAATGTAGGAATAAAATTAAAATTATTTCAAAAATTTTCAAATGAGATTAAAATAAATTTCAGTATAAAAATAATATTTACACAGGTTGCAGCTATTCTTCTTGAAAATAAAGCTTCAATTAAAGCAGTAACAAAAAATGGCTTTACACCATTACATATTGCTGCTAAATATGGAAATATGAATGTGAGCAAGATTTTTTTACAAAAAGACAGCAAGTTGGATGCACAAGGAAAGGTTTGTTTAATGAATATTAACACGGAGAGAAATACATGGTATGGGGTACTATCTAGATAGTACCAGGTACCATATTTGATCTTACATATAAGGACAGTAATCAAGATTTTATCAGTTACAATCCAGATTATACGGAGTATCATCTTGATTGTAGTGGGTAACATAACCATACTTTTTGTAACATCATTGATAGTATCGAATATCATAATGATGGTACAGGATAACATCTACTTTTTCCCATCTTAAGATCATAAGTTCTTACCATCTATTTCTTTCTTTGAACTTTTATTTTCTATTAAATTTTTTTTGTCTAATATTATATTTATTATATACCGAAGGGTGCTAGATCTTTCTTGGATCAAAAAAGAGAGAAAAATTCATGGCTCAAATAATTAACAAAGGTTTATTTAATTAATAATCAGCATTAGAGTCTAAGTAATTGCCAAAGAAACCCGAATTTTTCTGGGTACGACCAAATTTAGATTATTCCAAGAAGACTAGAGACAGGAGGATAGTGTTTTAAAATTCTCGGTAAAATTGAAACCTGAGAATGTAAGAAAGAAAATTGCGGTAAATTACCGAAAAAAAAAGAATTTATGAGAATATTCATTTAAGTGATTGATAATTGCCTTTTTTAAATTTAAATATGTATTTTTATAGTATGTAAGTTATAAATAAACGACCGACATGTTATTAAATGAATAATTTGAACAATGAATATAATAGACTGTAAGGGTGCAGTCCCATGGAGCAGATTAGCAGAATAGATTTCAGCCAATCAAAAGTTAGTCTCTCGCGGCAAATTTTGCATTTCCGTTAGAGACTGTTTTTTTATTGGTCAACGTCTAAGCTGCTAATCTGCTCCATGGGACTGCACCCTAATTTTCTCTGTGTTCTTACTGACAAGATGACAGTCGGGTATATATGCCTGCACTTTTATCATTGTCTAACACGTGCGTCGTCATGGCAACATGTGTGTTAGACAAGGATAAAAGTGCAGGCATATAAATGTACCTGATTCAATATAATAATGTAATATTATATCAATATTAATATATTAATATATATATTATATATTGTAACAAAGATATTTTTCATTATAATAATAATTATACAGTCAGGAACATATGTCTGTACTTTTATCCTCGTCATACACGTTGTCATGACAACGCACGTGTCAGACAAGGATAAAAGTATAAGTAAAAATTCTCATAAATTCTCAGAGAAAAAACGATCCGGTAATTTACCGGTAAATTACCGTAATCTTCTTTCTCTTCTTGACGTAATTTACTGTCTTTAGAACACTACAGGAGGAGTAACTTCGCTTGAGTCCTATAGAGAACGGTGACGTATAATATGAGGGCAATGAAGGTGGCGTACTTGGCGAGTAGTCGGAGCAGTAGACTAAAATTGGGCTTCTGCGCATATTAATACATTTATCGGTTTACATGTATTTATCATTCTTGACGCACATGGGTTTTCGCCGACTGATTAATAAAACATATAATTTGACATAAACAATTAATCGAATGATATTTTTGATAATTTTTCAAGTTATCTTCCGACACTGATTGCATTTTATTAAATTTATTATCAGCCTCTCAAATATAAAAAAAAACTTTTAATATTATTATAATGACAAGTGCAAATAATATCTTTTAATGCACAAAAAAACGTTTCAGTTGATTTATATTAAAAAAAAATCTAAAAAGTTATTTTTTTTTATTTTAACAAAATTCAATTGGTTAATGAATATATTTTACTTTAAATAAGTAATTTAATTTGAAAACATATTTTCTCTCTTAAATAACTAATGTTATTAGATATTAAATTCTATTTATTAATTCTATAAAAATATTATCAAAATTTATTTCGATTATTTAAGAATCATCTAACTAATTGTAAGACAAATTTTTAAAATTTTATTTAAGTAGGACAAATTTCTAGAATAAATTCTTAAAGTTCCATTTTTATAATTTTTGGAAGTATGATTTAAGCAATATATTAGAATTAAAAAATTTGTCACAGTTTTTAGTTTTGACGGTAAAAAAAAGTTAAAATTTTTGAAATTAATTAAATTTCAAGTCATTTTGAATTAAAATTTCTTTATAATTTTTTTTGCGTATTTTTTTAAAATTAAAATTTTAGTTAAAAATTTGTTAAATAATTAAAATAAAGAAGATCTAAATCTAAATAATTTGTTTAAAAATTTATAAAAAATTTTTTTAAAAAATCGCATTTTATTAAAATAAGTTGAAAAAGATCGTATTTTATAAAAAAAATTGGTAAAAGTAGTATAATCCGAGACCGGCAATTTATATAAAATACCTTGAACTGCAGTTCGAAAATTCGCCAAAAAACTGTAATAATAATATTATTCTGATTACTTATAACCTCACTATTATAACATTCTCTTGTGCGATTTGACACATTCTCTTCTGATATATTATGGCTCTATATATACGTGCGCAGTAAACCATTTTTGCTTACGGCACGAACTACCTATGTTTGTTTGTTTCTTTTGTTTAAATGGCCGCTTGTAGCAACAAATAGCCAGTACCAAAGGACACAACCGGGAAGAAATTGATTTCTCAGTTAAAAAAGAAAAAAAACAACAACAACAACTGTATTGATTTATAAAATTATCCCACCGCAAGAAAAAAATTTTCCAATTTCAATAACAGAATTTAAGATTGGATCAAAAATCAGACTGTCCAAACTGAAATTATCCGGATCAAAATTTAAAAGTTTGGAAGATAAGTAAGAGAAAAAGGCAGGTCTGCCAGGAGATAGTAATGGACAATAACTCAACAAATGACGAAGACTCTTAAACTCCTCGCCACATGCGCAATTCAGAGGAAGAGTTCAGTTCATTCTAGAAAAATGTTCCCCTGTGCAAATGTGTCCAGATCTCAATCTAGTAATCAAATTAATAAACTTTCTCGAAGCATCAATGCCACCAAAACAAGGCCTTACAGATTTGACATCCACTTTATTATAATAAGGATTTCGAGAAATGTTAGCTCCAAAGTAGGGCCATAATTTAATTGTCCATGATTTCAGGTCACATCTCAACAATGAATAAAAATCCCTCATGGGAGCCCCCACAAAATTACCAATAGGTAATTTATAGGCTTCCTTGGCCAATTTATCAGCTTTCTCATTACCTTTGATACCCTTATGTGACGGAACCCACAAAAATTGAACAAGGCGACCCTCATTAATCAATTCAAGAGTGATTCTAACTATCTTTGAGTATGATAGGATGTGGTTTCATAACCAGAAATCTATCTTTAATACAACTTAACGAATATCTCGAATCAGATACAATGATAACCTCCGCGAACTCGTAAAAAAAGAGACAAAATTTATTATCTTAGAAGAAGCTCCCAATTCTGTCAAGCGATTATATATCGATATTAGAGTGATATTATTGAATGCTCCCTTAATATCAATTGCCAGAGCGAAAGTATGCTCCCTCTTGGAAAAACCAATATGAATATCGGTAGCCAAGGTCGAAACACAGTCCATCGATGAAAGGCCACGTCGAAAACCAAATTGGAATCTAGGTATCGCATTGACAGATTCAACATAATGTTCCAATCTTTTGTGCACCATTTTTTCAAAGAGTTTACAAATATTGGATGTTAATGAGATTGGTTTAAAGCCTACTCCACCTGACTTAAGGATAAATATCACTCCATTTTTCCAAATTATCAGGATATATAGACCCAGCAAAAAAATCATTGAAGAGACGAAATAAGAGCCTCCTACTGAGGGAGGGCAACTTTTGAATAATTTCATTTGAAATCGAATCAAGACCAGGAGAGGAATTTTTCTTGCATTGGACAATCACAGAATGGAACTCTAAATAAGTAAAGGGTTTATTCAATTCGTCCGGAACATTAGGATCAGGGATTAGGGGTAGATCAACGATAGGAACATTCTCCTGAGCTAACTCTTCCTGGAGTTTCCTGAAAACATCAGAGTTAGGATCATTACAAATCCCTGTTCTTAAGGCTGCAGTCCCATGGCAGCGTTTTGCGTTGCGTTTTGTCACTAGACCATGAGTGTAAAAGTGATGCAGATATATGTTTGCTATGTTTACACTCATGGTCTAGTGACAAAACGCAACGCAAAACGCTGCCATGGGACTGCAGCCTTAAGGTTGAGAAGCCTTAGAAAATGCTCTGACCTTTCCCCAAATTTCTTTAATTTCCATTGAGGGCTTGATATCGTCACAGAACTTAGCAAAGGAAGATTTTTTCTTCTGACGAAGGAACCACTTAACCTCATTATCGACAGATTTAAATTTTTCCAATAGTTCGACATTTTGAAAAGCTAAAAGATCTTTCCTGGCTGATCTTCTCCTCTTAAGAGCATCATCGCATTCAGAGTACCACCAAAATGGTTTAGCCTTTTTCCTGCCTGGCAGATTTTATGGGACATAAGCACCACAATCTTGCAAGACGGCCCTAATTTGACTCGTAAATTCATCATAAATGCTGATCGGATTAGCGCCCTCCATCCAAATCACCTAAGAGAGTTACACACTTATTATCAATAGTTTTAGAAAATTTAAGCCAATCAACATTTTTAGTATTAATTCTATTAGTAGATGACCTAATAAATTTGTGTTCAATATCTGATGTGGCAATTACCAGAAAGTGATCTGAAGCGAAGGAATCCACAGTAACCTCGACCGATGTAACCTGAGCAAGAGACGATGAAACGAAAATCAAATCGAGATTGCTCCTGACTCCATCAGATCTTACGAAGGTAGGTATTGAATCATTTAGAGGTATCAAGTCGAAATCTTCAACAGCATCAGCCAAAAAAGAACCACGAGTATCATTATGATTGGCACCCCAAAGCCAAGCGTGTGCATTAAAATCCCCACACAACACAATTTCTTCATTTAAGTTACAATTTTGAATGAGATTGGATCAAACAGTGGATAGCACACGAGCACCTGGCGGGGCATACACTGACAGAAACTGTAACTGTCCAAAATCAGTACCTATAGACACCTACAACATCGATCTGTGACAAAACATTCTTGTTTGTATTTATAGGGGTAATCAATAATGAATTTCTAATTAATAATCATATAAGTTAAGGATTGATTCAATTTCAGCTTTTTTATTTACAACACTACGAGCATTCCAGGTACCATACTTAAAAACACTCATATTAACGAGAACAAAAGAAAACAGAAAAAAATTCTGCCAAAGAAATTTAACGAAATAAAATAAGAAAATGCACAACAGGATTAAAATAACCAGATTTTAAAAGCGTTCAGGGAACAATTAAAAATTTAAAAGTAAAAACACATGAGAGTTAAAAAGACAAGTTTTTTCGTAAAGAATCTATAAGATCCAACTTAGAACGGCCAAAGTCAGACAGTTCATCGACAACCACCAATTTGTCAGACAATTCGCTGTCACCAACAGACTTAGCAATCTTAGAAAGGAATGAACAACCCTTTGAACCCTGGCCTGCATCATCATTCATTCTAACGAATTCAGCCACTGTGGTAGATGCACGAGGATTATTATTCAAAGATGCTGTCGGATTATCTTCATTAAGTGCTGCAGGGTCATCATTGAAGGAGTCAATGTAGGAGTTATCATCTCTGGGTAAGACTTCACTCATTAGATCAGGATTCTCAGAGCGGACCATGATCTTAGGTTCCTCTCTAGAGCAACCGATTGTCATTCTAAGTTTAAGTATGTTGAATTCGAATTTATAAATTGGGCAATTACTTGAGGAAGCAAAGTGAGCACCATTGCAATTTTTACAACTAGCTCTGCCATTTTTATTACAACATAGGTTCGTGAGGTGTCTCCCTGCACAAAATTCACATGAAGGAAATGTGGAACGGCATTTGACAATTTGGCATTGGCAATTTGACCATTGAAGATCCTCTTAATAGAGATGATACTGCTCAGAACAGAATCATCAAAGAAAGAAACAATTTCCGAGATTGTTCTGTTCACAGGGAACAAAGTAGTAAAACACTTTCTACCTAAAAAGGAATCCGGGATGAAACATTTAAAACCTGCCAAGGAAAGGTCTCTAACATCGATAAGACTATTGGCACTCAACCAATTATCACAAACAATTTTGAAGTGGTTTATACCGTTTCTCGAGATCGATTTGCCACCATCAATAAGAGGATTAACTAAATTTAGGACGCAAATTGGATCCAATTTTCCCACATTGCGACCTGGAATAGTACTGTCCATGAGGACAAAAAATGGTGGAGAACTTGAAGGATTATATTTTTCGAGATGTTACGCAAACTATCATTAAACCAGGTATTATCGTTGTTCGTCTGAACCAAGGAGTCTACACCATTTTTTCGACTAGCATTCCTTGCACCCGTTGTAAACTGAGGATTCAATCCACAGCCAGAAGTAATAGGAGGACGAGGCAAAGCTCCATCCAAATTGACCCTAGCAACAACTGCAGAGCCAGATCCAGTCTCCAATTCAGGATGAGAAATCAAGGATTTTTTTCCAACAGGGTGATTTAAACCACTTGAGGAGGAATCAGATGAACCAGATTCTCGTAAGTGATCAAGTTCTCGTGGTATCTTCTTACTAGAATCTTCAAAAGCAGAGAAAGAGGTGAGGGTATGAAAATTTTTTAGTTTATCCCCGGAATTCCCATCAATAAAGGCAAATCCAGCCGGCTTGGCAACATTGGCAGCATTCGCTAACAAAAATAAAGACGAAGATGGAGGCACTTGAGCAGGATTCGCATTTGAAGTCTTCAAATCTAAGTCAATCAACGGCGCAAAAGAATCATTCGAATCATTATTCCTGGACTCTTCCTCCTGCATTCTCTTCAGATCAGCCATCTTCCTAGAAAATTTTAAATTTGAGGCTTTCAAAATAAATAATAATAATGTGAAAAATAGATATTTAAAGTAATTAATAAAATAATTAAATAAAACTACTAAGAATAAAAAAAATTTAAGTTTAATTAGAAAAATTTAAATAGAAATAAGCAAATACTAGAGAAATAGATTGAGTTAAAATAATTGAGTAGTTACAAAGCTCAAACTGCAATCTTTACAATTAATTTAATTATAAAAAAAACTGGGAAATTGGAAAAAAGGTTTAATTGAAAAAGCAATTTAAATTAATTTGATTATGAAGGGAAAGCATGCAACCAAGCAGTGCGATTCTCAAGAATACGTTGAAGTCCAAGCAGCAGGTTCAATTGGGCTTGAATTAAGTGTTGCACAAAGCTGCAAAGTATAAAATATCAATGCAAGCTAAAAAAGCAGAGACAATTCAGCATTCATGATCCTTAAAAAGCGTAGCAGGCACAGATTTTCATTCAACTCCAAAAAAAAGTTTGTGAGGTTAGCCAAGAGTCACTTTGAGGTTATGTAAACCACGTGCACAATAGTCCACTAAAAATTGCAAAAATAATAATTGAAGCGCAACAGAGAAATTGTTCCCTGAACGCTTAAAAAAATATTTTTAGAAGCGATTCATCTTTTAATATTTAAAAACAGTTGGATTCAAAATTAGGCACAACACTATGACTCCACTAATGTTGAAAATAAAGCCACTTCATGAGCAAAATAATATTAAATACTGCAAGAGGGAATTTCCCTCAGAAATAAGTCAAATAAAATTAAACCGTACAAAAAATAAAGAAATAGAACAAAATAACAAAAATTACAAAATAACCGAACTGAACAACATGACGTCCAGAATCGGAAACTCACGAAATACCTATGCAGAGAGAATTTTCCTTCATTGCCCTCACTTTCGACGACATCCCCACCACCTGAATTACTCCTCCTGTCTCTAGTCTTCTTGGATTATTCATAGGAATGAATTTAAGGGGGGGGGGTACGGTTTATTCGGGGAAAAAAACACATTTTTTGGGAATGTGAATTGATATTAGCCTCCACAGCACCGAAACTTTTCTAAAGATTTATTTGAAATATTCCGAACATTTCAAATAAATCTTTAGGAAAGTTTCGGTGCTGTGGGGGAGCTTGAAAACAATTTTAAAATTTTAACTCCAGTAACGATGAAATATAAGGTTGATTCCACAATAGGCAAAATCGTAACGTCTTAAAGACGATTTTAAAGACAGAATGATTTTCGACAATAGGAACAAGTTGTAAATTCAGATGTTCATTACATGAACATTTTGCTTCCTCTTTACGATCAGCAAAAAAAATTTGCTTCCTCGTGGAGAAAGCATTAACATTGAAATAAACATACAAAAATAATATAATAATATAAACATTATATATGAAAAATAATATATAATTTATAATTATTTACAATTATATCGATTCGTTTTAATGCAAGGAACACAATTATTTTATATTTAAACTTTAATTTAAATAAATATAAAATTTTTCAGCTAAAATGTGTATTTTCTATTTTTTAACTTTCATTAATTTATTAAATATACCTTAAATGTAAATTTTATATATACCAATCGATTCGTTTTCATGTAAGGAATACAATTATTTCATCTATAAACTTAAATTTAAATAATCACAAAATTTTAAAGTCAAAATATGAATTTTTGATTTTTTTACTTTCATTAATTCTTTAAATTTAAATTAAAACTATACTTTATGTATACTGATCGATTTGTCTTGACGTAAAGAATACGATTTTATTATATATAATCTTAAATTTTTGTATTTAAAAATTTTTTCGATTAAAAAATATTTTTGGAAAAAAGACGATAAAATTTTTTTTGGGGTATTTTTTAAAATCCTTTGGTCAGATTTGAGATATTAGTATGATAAATGACCCTACCAAATTTTATCTAAATCCATTAAAACCTGTTAAAGTTATCTTCTAAATAAAAAAGGGATCCACACACACATACATACATCCGGACAATTGATCAGGATCTCATATATCATATTTCCGACACTTTGAAAATTTTTACAAACGAAAGGACTACAAAGCTTCCTCCACGAGGAAGCAAAAGTATACGTTAAAAACATTTTTATAATTAAATTCAATAAACACAAACCATTTTAATAAGTTTTAACAATTAATACTCTTTTCAGAATAATATCACTCCATTACATTTAGCTTGTCACTATGATCATCCAAATGTTGTACAATTATTATTAGAAAAAGGAGCTTCACCTAATCTTACTTCTCAAAATGGTCATACGCCACTACACATTGCGGCACGAAAAAATCAGGTAATGCATTTACTATTATTATTATCATAATTATAAATGAAATTCTTGAGATAAAATACATAATAATTATAGCGATTATTATATTGTACAATACACACCTATACGGAGAGAAATAGATGGTACTGGGTACTATCTAGATAGTACCAGGTACCATATTTGATCTTAAATATACAGACAGTTATTTGGATTCTATTAGTTACAATCCAAATTGTACGGAGTAGCATCTTGATTATAGTGGGTAACATAATCATATTTTTTGTAACATCTTTGATAGTACCGAGTAGCATAATGATGGTACAGCAGGATAACATCTACTTTTAACCATCTTTAGATCATAAGATCTTACCATCTATTTCTCTCCGTGATATCCTCAAGAGCGGGTAAGTTTCTAAAAAATGTAACCAATAACACAGTTCGACAAAATTTTGCCACAAGATTAAACGATGGTGATTCTTATAGGATTTTTGACGTAGATTACGAATCTGCAAATGAAATTGTCCCATCACGTCTCAATTTTGAGAAAAACTGTCTGAAAGTGTCAAAAAATCGCATTTTTGGCACTTTTTGAAGCACTATAAAAAAAGAACGCGACGTGATAAACGGCTCAAATATGGCTTAAATAAGAGCTAGTACCCTTAACTTTAACCTCCAAAAGCAAAAAACCATGTACCAAGAACTCAAAATTGTGGACAACATTTTTTTACCGCGTGCGCGTCCAACAGATATTGTTCCCACGATAAAATGAAATAAATTGCTGAAAACGTCGTCAAAGACACAAGATCGATTTAAATTAACTTCAAACTGGTTACTCGGGGGTTTTCGGGGTCGCTGATTACGAATCTGATGTTAGTTTTTAAAAATCCAATATGGTGGATCCAATATGGCGGACGATTTTTGGAATAACTTAACATATTAGTCTGAAAATCGTTACTTGGGGGTTTTCGGGGTCGCTGATTACGAATCTGATGTTAGTTTTTAAAAATCCAATATGGTGGATCCAATATGGCGGACGATTTTTGGATTAACTTAACATATTAGTCTGAAAATCGTTACTTGGGGGTTTTCGGGGTCGCTGAATAGGAATCCGATGTTAGTTTTTCAAAATCCAATATGGCGGAACTAACATGGCTTGACTATTAAATTACTACAAATTTTTTTGAAAGGAGTTATTTAATGAATAATTTAATTTTTTCTTTTTTACGCAGTTACATGAACCTTCTTTTTACTAATCCAATATAAAAAAAACTTTATTGAGATAAAAATGTGACGTTTCGTTTATTTTGCACCATTAAGGATTTTAATTTTATTTCTTTTACATTTTCAAGGAGTTCAATTGATGAGCTCGCTGTCAGTTTGTTTCTAATTTTTTGTGGACGAAAAAAGTAGACGTTAAAAATGAAGCTTGATGTTTTCTGTTGTTTTCATTTTCACGCCGTATTAATTAAATCTGTTTGACAATATAACAAAAATTAATTAAATTTATTTTAAACCTAGTAACCATTTTTTATTAAAAAAAACTGTTTCCTCTTATAAATGACGTGGAGGCATGAAAATAATTACTAAAATTACTAAAGTCTGCGAAAATCAAGAACTATTTAAAAATTCGCTCGCCAAATTCGATTCGCTATCTTGTATTTAAAAATTTTTAAGTCAAATTCATAATTTGCAATCTCAAAACTTTTTATATACTCAATTTAATAAAAAACCATAAAATCTTTAAGCATCAGATTCGTAATCAACAACCCCGAAAACCCCCGCGTAACGATTTTCAGACTAATATGTTAAGTTATTCCAAAAATCGTCCGCCATATTGGATCCGCCATATTGGATTTTTAAAAACTAACATCAGATTCGTAATCAGCGACCCCGAAAACCCCCGAGTAACCAATTTGAAGTTAATTTAAATCGATCTTGTGTCTTTGACGACGTTTTCAGCAATTTATTTCATTTTATCGTGGGAACAATATCTGCTGGACGCGCACGCGGTAAAAAAATGTTGCCCACAATTTTGAGTTATTGGTACATGGTTTTTTGCTTCTGGAGGTTAAAGTTGAGGGTACTAGTTCTTATTTAAGCCATATTTGAGCCGTTTATCACGTCGCGTTCTTTTTTTATAGTGCTTCAAAAAGTGCCAAAAATGCGATTTTTTGACACTTTGAGCCCGTTTTTCTCAAAATTGAGACGTGATGGGACAATTTCATTTACAGATTCGGAATCTACGTCAAAAATCCTATAAGAATCACCATCGTTTACTCTTGTGGCAAAAAAAAACCTAAATTTTGTCGACCAGTGTAACCAGTGGGCACACTTGCTCAAAAGACGTGCTGAGGATGTCTTTTGCGGACGTCTTTAATTTGTCCCCGTATGGTATATCTTAAAAACGTGAATAATTGAAAATTCCAATTTTGCTTAATTTTCCCTGTAATGTGAGCATGAAAACACATAGATAGACACACAGTCACATAGATCGAAAATGATCAGTTTTTCCTAGAAAACGCTATGATTATCAACTCCAATCATGCTTACTATATTTTTCTTGTAATCTACACGTAAAAATGTATAAATTTGAAGCCTTTTAGAAAAAATTTTCTTTGTTTTTTGAAAAAAATTCATGATTTTTATCGAAAATTATCAGTTTTACCTTGAAATCGCTATGATAATCAACTCCAATCGTTCTCACTATATTTTTTTTGTAATCTACACGTAAAAATACGTAAAAATGTATAAATTTGATTCCCTTAAGATAAAATTTTCTTCTTTTTAGGGTTCCGTACCCGAAGGGGGAACCCTATTAATGAGACTAGTGAAGCAAGACATGTACCCCCCCCCCCCCTAGCGGCCACACGAATTTATCTAAAGGGCTGAAATTTGGTACACATATGTATTTTGACATGCAGATTGCAGGAAAAATATAACAAATCTCATAGGAATTGATTATTATAGCGTTGTCAAGGAAAAACCATGAATTTTTACGAAAAATCCCTAAAAATGACTATGTACCCCCCCTCTGGTGGCCACATTTTTTCACGTAGAGATCTCAAATTTGGTACACTTATGTATTGTTACGTGAAAATTATAAGAAAAATATAGCGAACATGATTCGGATCAATTTACATATCGTTGTCAAGGAAAAATCAAAAATTTTGAAAAAAAGCGTTTAATCCTCCTAGCGCACACACTATTTGACCAAGACAGTTAATATTTGGTATACATACGTATTTTTGCGTATAGATTACAGAAAAAATATAGCGAGCACGAATGGAGTTGATGATCATATTGTTTTTAAGGAAAACACATATTTTTAGAAAAAATCATGGATTTTTCGAATAAAAAAAGAAGAACATTTTATCATAAGGGATTCAAATTTATACATTTTTTCGTATTTCTACGTGTAGATTACAAAAAATATATAGCGAGAACGATTGGAGTTGATTACCATAGTGTTTTCAAGGAAAAACTGATAATATTTCGTTATATGTGCAACATAAACCCCCTTAAATTTTAGGTTTAAGGGTACGGAACCTTCCGTTTTTAATGCGAGTGTAACTCGCACTTGTCCGATTTTTTTTATTCGAAAAATCCATGATTTTTTCTAAAAATATGAGTTTTCCTTAAAAACAATATGATCATCAACTTCAATCGTGCTCGCTTTATTTTTCCTGTAATCTATACGCAAAAATACGCATGTATACAAAATATGAACTGTCTTAGTCAAATAGTTTGTGCGCCAGGAGGATTAAACGCTTTTTTTCAAAATTTTTGATTTTTCCTTGACAACGCTATGTAAATCGATCCGAATCATGTTCACTATATTTTCCCTGTAATTTTCACGTAAAAATACATAAGTGCACCAAATTTGAGATCTCTATGTGAAAAAATGTGGCCACCAGGGGGGGGGGTACATAGTCATTTTTAGGGATTTTTGTAAAAATTCATGGTTTTTCCTTGACAACGCTATGATAATCAATTCCTATGAGATTCGTTATATTTTTCCTGTAATCTACACGCCAAAATAAATATGTGTACTAAATTTCAGACCTCTAGATAAATTCGTGTGGCCGCTAGGGGGGGGGGTACATGCCTTACTTCACTAGTCTCATTAATAGATTTCCCCCTTTGGGTACGGAACCCAACTCTCTAAATATGAATCAGTGAAAAAGTCAGTGGTCTCAAATCAGTCGCTAAATTCTAGCTATTTGAATCAGTGGTTTTCTCGGGTTTTCACTGATAGTTAGTGACATTTCACTGGAGAATCAATTACTTTGACTGAAAATAAGTGAAATGTTACTGATTCAAATAGCTAGAATTTAGCGACTGATTTGAGACGAGTGACTTTTTCACTGATTCAAATTTAGAGAGTAATTAATGTTTTAAACTTAGAAAAAAAAATTTAGAAAATATTCTGAAGAAAATATATTTAAGTCCTAAAGACGTACAAAAGACATCTTTAGGACGTCTTTTGCCACGACATTAAACGTGTTAAAGACGTCCTTTGGATGTCTTTATGATGTCTTCGAGGCTTCGAGGTCCCGGTGCCCACTGGGATATTGGCTTATGTGAAATGTTTACTAATCTTTTGAGGATTCCAAATCTCTAAATCTTAAAATCTTCAATGCTCCCTTTTTCAATATTTTTATAATTTACATAGGAATAATTTTCGTCATTTCATAAAATAAAACACAACTTACCGGTAAAAAGCGAAGAATAGAAAAAGATTGAAAGTTTGCATGAGCGTAAGTTGATGATTTTAAATTATTCCGAATAGGCGAATTTACATTTATTTTATGAGATGAGAAAAATGATTCATATGTAAATTATAAAAATATTGAAAAAGGGAGATTGGATTTGGAATCCTTAAAAGATTAGTAAATATTCCACATAAGCCAATATAATATTTGTTACATTTTTGAGAAACTTACCCGCCCTTCAGGATGGGTGTGAATAGCTTTATTTCGTTGGTGGACATTTTTCCCAATCCATTTTTTCCAATAGTTAAAATTCCCAACCTATTATTTTATTAACTTATTTTTTTTCCAACACACTTTTTCTAAATTACTTTTTTCCTATAACAAACCTTTTTTAACTGTTTTTTTTAATTAATCGCGGACTTCATATTAAATACGAAAGTCACTTTTGTTATAGAAATTGCGTATCTGTCAAAATTTTATAGTACATTTACATTCGTATATTTTCAAAATTTTATAGTATTTTTCCAAATTTTTATAATTTATTTTAAATTTATAATGGCGGAGTTAATTGAAACTAGAGACAAGGGTTATTTTTTGCGAGTTTTTTGCATATCGATGGATTTCTTTATTATAAACATTCCGAGAAAAATGGTCGTGTTTTTTTTGCCGTTTCGGAATTGGGATTTTTAGCACATACTTGATTAATTAATGGGGAAAAATTTCCATACTTGGGAATTTGTTTATATTTGGTAAAAATAACAATTAGGATTGACTAAATTTCAATACGCCATCTGGTGTTTACCTTCTTTGTGAATATTGGATTGGTAAAACTGGACTGAAAAAATGTCCACCAATCGCATTATTTTCTTGTGTATAGAGTACATTTTTTTTGGTAAATACATAATGTAAAAACAAAATTTGCTTCAATATATTAGTTTCTTTAAAGGTATTTAAAATTAAAAATTATAAAAAGAAGCTTATAGAATATTTTTCTGTTTCTTATTCCAGTAGAACTTTCTATAAATAAATAATATGTCAATCTTTTTTACCGCAACAAGTCATAATTCATAAAATTATTTCGAACCGTATTTAGGATATTTTTTTCGATATCCATTAATTTTTGAAAACCGAGTAAATGACTTAAGTTTAGTTATGGCTTAACCCTCGGAGCACATACTGGGTCACACAGACCCTGCCCTATTGAAAAAAAACACGTATAATTGTACGTATAATAATACGTATAATTATACGTATTATTATACGTATAATTATACGCATAATTATACGCATAATTATACGTATTATTATACGTATAATTATATGTATTATTATACGTACAATTATACGTATAATAAGACATACGAATTTGAAACAAGAATTATACGTATAATTATACGTATAATAATACGTATAATTAATTATACGTATAATAATACGTATAATAATACGTATAATTATACGTATTATTATACGTATAATTATAATTCTATTAAAACTAGAATAATAGAATAGAATAGATTAATTAGTAGCAAAATTGCGCTGAAAATTTTTAGAAATTTTAAAATGCAAATTAAATTTCACGAAAAAAAATATCGTCGAATGTCAATTCAAGCAGTCACCCATCCAAGTACTAACCGCGTCCAACGTTGCTTAACTTCCGTGATCTGATGAGAACTTGTTCCCTCGCCTTGGTGTTTCCGCTGTCTTGTCTTGATTAATAACTTTGTCGTATAAGTATTGTATCGCACCTAACCTCACTTTTAGTGATACTTATACGACAAAGTTATTAATCAAGACAAGACAGCGGAAACACCAAGGCGAAGGAACAAGTTCTCATCAGATCACAGAAGTTAAGCAACGTTGGACGCGGTTAGTACTTGGATGGGTGACTGCTTGAATTGACATTCGACGATATTTTTTTTCGTGAAATTTAATTTGCATTTTAAAATTTCTAAAAATTTTCAGCGCAATTTTGCTACTAATTAATCTATTCTATTCTATTATTCTATTTTTAATAGAATTATAATTATACGTATAATAATACGTATAATTATACGTATTATTATACGTATTATTATACGTATTATTATACGTATAATTAATTATACGTATTATTATACGTATAATTAATTATACGTATTATTATACGTATAATTATACGTATAATTCTTGTTTCAAATTCGTATGTCTTATTATACGTATAATTGTACGTATAATAATACGTATAATTATACGTATAATAATACGTATAATTATACGTACAATTATACGTATAATTATACGTACAATTATACGTATAATTATACGTATTATTATACGTATAATTATACGTGTTTTTTTTCAATAGGGTGTCATTAATTTCAATGAAGTGTAATTTGAAAAGTCGGCAATACAACACGAACCTAAGGCCATATAGTGGTAACTAACTAGTAAGGAATAATAAGTAACATGATAATCCAAAGAAAATAATAAAATACTAGTAAATATGTTATTAAAAAAGTATAGTTTTAAAAAGTTGTGTCGAAAATCACATTTTTATCGTCTTAAAAGTTACCTTCGTTAAACAACAAAATAAATACCTTTTTTAAAAAATAAAATAAGGTGGTATTTTTTCCCTTATTCTAACACACTTCGAGAATATAAATCCCAATTTTTAGCTTAAAATATTAAAAATTACAAAAGTTACATTTTTTTTTAAATTCAATTTTTTCTTTTTAATTAGTTAACTTCACGAATTTTTTTTCAATATGCAAATAATTTAATAATATTTCTAAACTGCGCATTCTTATTTTACAAGGTTCAATGAATAAAAAAATATTTTTTTTGTGTTGATCAGTCCAATAGTTCAAAAATGGGGGAGTTTTGTAAAGTAAACAGGGTCACAGTGACCCAGACTGTGCTACTTGTTCGAAAAAAGAGGTGTGTGCTCCGAGGGTTAAAAAAGCAGTTAAATCATCTGCTGATTATTTCCTTAAATTTTGTATTCTTGAAAATGTTTATTTCATCATGATTGACATTTATTTAATAACATTAATATTTTCTTAAATTCAAATTTCCGATAAATTATACTTAATTTTTTATCTTTATCGCACAGGATAAATATGTGCTGTACTTTCTTCCTCTGTTAACGGATATGAATATAATGGATAAATTTTTATTTTTTCTAGATGGATACAGCTACTATTTTATTAGAACATGGAGCAAAAACAAATGTTGAATCAAAAGCTGGATATACTGCATTACATTTAAGTGCACAAAAGGGGCATTACGATATGATAAATTTACTCATCGATCATGGAGCTGATCCTAATTACAATGCTAAGGTAATATCAAATTAGTATTAATTTTTTTAATTAAATACAAAAATTGTATTGCTTTATTATTGTTGAATATAAAAGTTAATGTATGTAAGTAAATATACGGGGTAATTTTTATGTTCCGGACCCCCCCAAAAAATTTTTTTATTCTAATTTCTTTCGTTTTTTAAACAAAAATAATGGAATTAAAAGAAACCACTATCTTTTACATAAGTTTTTTAAAATTCTAAATAATAGATATTATCAAATTTTTACTTTAATTTAGAAATTGAAATAAAGTTTTTTACAGAATGGACTCACAGCCTTACATTTATGTGCCCAAGAAGATTTTACTAGAGTAGCTTCAATTTTAATAAAAAATGGTGCAAATATCGAAAAACAAACTCAGACTGGTTATAGACCAATTCATATTGCAGCTCACTTTGGAAATTTAGCAATGATAAGATTTTTATTAAAACATTCGGCTGAAATTGATGTTAAAACTAATCAAAACTATACTCCATTACATCAAGCTGCTCAACAAGGACATGCTCATGTTGTGTCTGCTCTTATAGAAGGTCATGCTTCACATAGAGCACATACAAATGTAATTATTCAATTTGTTTGTTATTAATATTAAAAAAAATTTTATTTTAATTGTTATTTTCTTATTTGGTTATAATCAATATTTTAAGGGAAGTCACTAAAAAATATTCAAAAAACTGATTTCTTGGATAAACTTTTAAAAATTGTTAGAATTTATTATTTTTAGATATATACATATAATATAACAGTACTTGTGTTCTTTAATAAATTGTGAAATCAAATTGTTCCATCTAACTCTTGACATTTATTTTATTCCTTATTTTAAAAAATGACAATGAATGGGGTAAGGATTTCAATTATTGGCAGATCCAAACTTTCTTGCGTATGAAATAAGTTTTTCTTTTTTAATATGATAAATACTGTTAGTAAGTTTATTTTATTAATTTTGAAACTTTAATTTGATATAAATTTAAACTTGTATGTCTTTTTAGGATGGATTAACAGCTTTAAATATCGCTCAAAAATTAGGATATATATCTGTAATAGAAGTTTTAAAAGGACTATCTTACGATGGTGTAACACCTGATAACAAAAATTGGGAAGAGAAATATAAAGTTATTGCCCCAGAAAGTTTACAAGAAACAAGTTTTATCTCTGATTCTGATGAAGAAGGTGGTAAGGACATTTAAAATTTAATACTAAAAAATGTAATTACTACTTTCACTGTAAAAAGAAAGTACTAAAATAGTACCGATTTTAGGTATCAAAATAGAACCAAAAGACAATTTAGTATACCTAAAGTCGGTATTATATTAATACCTTTTGTTTTACAGTGTTGACTTTAAAGTCAGTTCAAAAAGGTTGATGCAATTTTATTTTAGTGAATATGGTTTCGAAATTTTTTTTTAAATCCAACCTTTGAAACATCCTGATACAGGTTTGGAGTGAAGTGTACTAACTTAATTTTAACAGGGTACCTAAACCAGAATTATCTGATAAGGACCGTATACCGTATAATTGGTATCAACTCCAGAGAGAATTCTATTATATTTCTGAAAGCCTAAAATACAGTATAAAATTTTTAGTTTGAATCTTTCAGAGGCTTTGTTTAACTTAACTTTTTTTCTAGGATTACTATTAAATACTTTGTTAAATCAGAAAATATACTTTATTTTTTTTATAAAATACTAGGCTTTTTAATTCAGGAAGTTTATATTTCTTAGTAAAGATTAAGGCATCTATATTTATAATTAAAAGTGAATACATTTTAGAGCATAAATTTTAAATTGGGTTTGTATTTACAGGTTCAGACGCTTTAATTAGCGAACAACCTTATCGATACTTAACAGTAGACTTAATGAAGAGTTTACGAGATGATTCTCTGCCTATCGATGTAACCCGTGACGATCCTATTCATAGGCATGGTAAAAAATATTATTTTTTGAAAGTTTTACCCTACTAATAGTGCCTATTTACAAAATTTTACTTTTTCAGTTTCAAAGGAAGAAAAGCAACAGTTTGTTCAGAGCAATAATTACTGCATAGGAGAAAATTTTGACAATGATAATTTTGGTTTTGGGTAATTATATTATTATTACTTACCTTAAAGTTTAATGACTTTCAAATTACAATTTCTTATAGTAAAAAATAATGATTCTCACTAATAATTTGTCTTTATTTATAGGAAACTTCATTTTCGATCGTAAGTATCCTTTAACATATTCAAACTTATTTTATAAAAGAAGTTAATTCAACATATTAATAAATTTTTAATTCAGATTTTTAGTTAGCTTTTTGGTGGATGCAAGAGGGGACACAATGAAGGGTTGCAGACATAGTGGAATTCGAATAATTGTTCCCCCTAGAAGAGCTACAATGCCAATTCGTGTTACTTGCAGATTAGTAAAACCAAATAAAGTTATAAATCCACCTCCATTAATGGAAGGAGAATCTTTAGCTGCTCGTATTATCGAGATGGGTCCAGTTGGAGCTTCTTTCCTAGGGTAAATTTTACATTTCATGAAATACTACTTTATCAATACATATACTGTAGGGTAACCTAGACAGTAGTACAAAGCTTGTGTCAAATTTGCAGCAAAATTGTCATGACAGGTTGTCAAGCTTGCACTATCAACTTATAATGAAATATGGTTGAAAGCTTCATTTGAAATATGTATAATCTGGGTAACCCTATATGGTATAATCTAATGCAATATTATTGTAAACTAGTTGTTTTCATCAGAATAACTAATAGTAATAATACGTGTAACTATCAGATTTTATACACGAATTGATAAATAGATCGACAACTTTACCACTTATCCTAATATGTAAATTTTTATTTGGAAATTTAAAAGACAACTTTTTCTAGGCCTGTATTGATTGATATTCCAAATTTTGCTGCGATTCGTGAAAACAATAGAGAAATTATAATTTTAAGATCAGAGAATGGAGAAAACTGGAAAGAACACGATAATTCTCTCGACAGTGATGACAATTTATTAAACACTTCTTATGGTGAGTATTGTTTTTATATTTCTATTCCTAAAAATGCAAACTAATTTGTTTAGGCATCTAAAAATATAGAACAAATTATTTTAAAACATAATAATAATTACAGCTTTATTTAACATAACTGCTCTGGCGAATTAGGAAAACCGTATTCGAACCGAATACGGTTCGATTTTGGTTAACTTTGGTTAAAAGCTAAAAAAAAATATGTTAAATCCCTATTTTTTTGAAAAATTTTCATATGTCAAACCCCATATCATTTCCCAAGTGAAAACCTTAATCATTTTTTTGAAAAATTTTCCCATGTCAAACCTCATGTCATTCCCCATGTCAAACCCCATGTCATTTCCCAAGTGAAAACCTTAATCATTTTTTTGAAAAATTTTCCCATGTCAAACCTCATGTCATTCCCCATGTAAAATCCTTTATCATTTTTTTCAAAAAAATTTCCCATGTAAATTCCCATGTCAAATCACATGTCATTCCCCATGTGAAATCCATTATCATTTTTTTTTAAATTTTCCATGTCAATTCCTATGTCAAACCCCATGTCACATGGGGAATGACATGGGGTTTGACATGGGAAAATTTTTCAAAAAAATGATACAGAATTTTACTTAAGGCATGACATGGGGTTCCACAGTTACGCCACCAGATGGTGAAAATATTTTCTCTCACAGTTGAGATCAGTCTGGAATACTATAAAAGCTGAGAGTCTAACTTAGAACTAAAGTAAACTTTTATTTCTTTTCAGATGAGTTGCAGTAATATTATTTGATATTTAATAAAATAATTAATATTTTTTGTAAACTGCAGCCTGCATAAAGCAGACAACTGAAAACTCCCGAATGAAATCCTATATCGTTTCCTATATGTAAATCCATGTGAAATCTTAGGTTGAAATTTCAGAATCTATATGAAATCTTATATGATTTCCTATGCTTAAAATCTATTTGTTTTATCATGTGTAAGAATGCACATGAAATCGTGTTCCAGTTTCCCATATGGTTTTCCATGTAGGGATTTTCAAAAAAGAAAATTTAAAAAAAATGATAAAGGATTTCATTTAGTATTTAACATGGTATTTGACATGGGATTTAACATGGTAAATGAGGAACCTCGTTTTGATATTTTCCTAAGTCAATTCCTGTCAAAATTTCCCATGGGGATTTATATGAGAAACCATATGGTTTCCTATATAAGAGTGGGGTTTTACATAGCTTTTGACATAGGATCCCATGTAGTTTCCCATGTGGGGATTTTCAATAGGGAAACATGAAACATGGTTAAAAACCCATTGATACTGATAAATTATGATTAGTTAAGTTGATTTGTTAAATAATTTAGTTAAATTAAGCTATATTAGTGAGTAATTAATGTGTACAGTGCAGTGCTTACTTGTTACTTCAAGTGCGCGATTTATCTGTAATTTTGTGTATAAAAATACATATTTTCCAAAAAAAACCTTTATTTTTATTAAATAATTAAATATAGTGCTTTTTTTAAATAACTTATTTAATTAGTGCTTAATAAACGTTTAATTTAATAAATTTTCTTTGTGTTTTTTGTGCGCAATTTTACCAAAACACATATAATGGATTTTTGGAATTAACTCGTAAAAACGCAAAATTTCGAAAATTGTTTTAGACAAAATGATAGGTGTCAAAAAAACACACATTTTATGTCCTGTACATTATTTACTAAAAATTATTATTCTTCGACAAAAATAGTATACTTACAAGTACCAAATTTCTCCATAATTATGATGTGCACTGTTTCACCATCATATTTAGGGTTCCGTTCACGCAGTGAACCGAAACGGAACCCTTATGGTTTCACTTATGTCCGTCCACAAAATCATGTCCCCTCCCTCTAAAATTTAGCTATTTCAACCGATTGAGCTCAAAATTGGTATACATACGTATTTTCTTGAGTAGATTAAAGGAAAATTATGGCGAACCCGATTGGAGTTGAATTAAATATAGTTATATTCCAAAAACTCGAAATTTCGGAAAAAACGTGTCCCCCCACCTTAACTTTTACAGTTTTGGAGGTAGGATGTTCAAACTTGGTATACATGCGTATTTTTGCGAGTAGGGTGTCGATTATGTAATTTAATTTGATTCTGACGTCAAAGTCAATTTTAACTCCAGATATTCATTTGTTCATTTAATTTTGACGTCAAATTCAAATTTATTTTTTGATTTGATTTTTACGTCAAATTCAAATTTATTTCGACGTCAAAGTCAAATCAAACAATAAATTTGAATTTGACGTCAAAATTAAATGAACAATAGAATGTCTCGAATTAAAATTGACTTTGACGTCGAAATAAATTTGAATTTGACGTCAAAATCAAATCAAAAAATGAATTTCTCGAATTAAATTTAACTTTGACGTCAAAATAAATTTGAATTTGATGTCAGAATCAAATCAAATTACATAATCGACACCTAGATTAAAGGAAAATTATAGCGAACCCGAATCGAATTTGATAGCATATAGTTATATTCGAAAAACTCGAAATTTCTGAAAAAAGCGTGTCCCGCCCATCTTAACTATTACAGTTTTGGAGCTAAGAAGCTGAAACTTGGGACACATATTTCAGACTTAAAACTTTTGACTGAAATAATTGTTGAAATTTTGCGTTTTTTTCGAGTTAATTGCAAAAAACCATGATTTTATGGTGTTTTTTTATGGTTTTCACCATGAGAATCAAATTTGCGCTAATTTTCACTAACATTTTCGTAATCAGCGCACCAAAAAAGTTAGTATACTAAGTTTTATTCAAATTGGAGGTGGACCTCTTTCGCATCTTTTTCTATCAATTATAATGTCGATTTTAAAATACTATAGTTCATCGCCATCTACAATTTACAACCGAACTACAGAATTATATGTGTCGTCGGTAAAATTGCGCACAAAAAACACAAAGAAAATTTATTAAATTAAACGTTTATTAAGCACTAATTAAATAAGTTATTTAAAAAAAGCATTATATTTAATTATTTAATAAAAATAAAGGTTTTTTTTGGAAAATATATAGTTTTATACACAAAATTACAGATAAATCGCGCACTTGAAGTAAGATGTAAGCACTGCACTTTACACATTAATTACTCACTAACTAGAGCTTAATTTAACTAAATTATTTAACAAATCAACTTAACTAATCATAATTTGTCAGAATCAATGGTTTTTTAAAACCATATTTCATGTTTTAACATTTTTTTTTAGATAGAATATTAATTACCTTTTGACCATAAAGTAAGAGATTTTCAATTAATTGCAATAATTGCAGATACGCAAATGAGTGCCTTACACTCGGGAAGAATAACTCGTATTCTAACTAAAACATTGCCACAATATTTTGCCATTGTTACAAGGATTAAGCAAGAAGTTCATGTTATTGGAGCAGAAGGAGGAATTTTAATATCCAGTGTTGCTAATCACGTTCAAGCAGTATTTCCACCAGGTTCTTTGACTAAAAAGATCATTGTTGGATTACAGGTGGGGTTTAAGAGAAATATTTACATTTATATGCGAGTGCAGATTAACATCTTTTTGAAACGTTTCATTTAATATGAGAATTTTTTCTATATATAATTATATCTTATGTAATAATAAAAGATGTTATCTTATTACAGGCACACGTTATACCAACAGAGCTAACAGCAAAACTTCTTGGCAACAGTGTAGCAGTTTCTCCTGTCGTTACAATTGAACCAAGAAGAAGAAAGTTTCATAAACCAATTACTCTTACAATTCCAGTCCCTCAAGCAGCGAATAAAGGAATGATTAATCAATATGGAGGTGAAACTACATCGTTAAGATTACTGTGCAGTATTGCAGGTGAGGTTATTAAGAAATATTCTGTAATATTTCTTAAAGTAGTGTATATATTTTTATTTTACGAGTAAAGTGGAAATTCTGCATAACCTTCCCAGTGGGCACCAGGACGTCTAAAAGACGTCCTGTAGACGTCTTTTTTGTCCGCGGACATCCTGGGGACTTTGATGATAATGTCTCGAAGACATCATAAAGACATCGAAAGGACGTCTTTAACATGCTCAATGTCGTGGCCAAAAGACGTCTAAAAGACATTCAATAAGGATGTCTAAAAGACGTCCTAAAGACTTCTTTTGGACGTCTTTAGGACTTAGATATATTTTCTAAGTTTAACACATTAATTATTATCTTATTTAAATTTTGACTTTTTTTTGTATTTTTTCTACATGCTTATACAGAAATCAGGAATGAAAAAATCCTCTCGGACCTGGGATCGAACTCGCGATACGTTGGGTTGAAACTCTACGCCTTAAGCGTCTGAGCCATCGGAGACTGATAAATTCCTTTACAAAGTTTACGAACTTATTTGTCAATGAAATGAATCAAACTTTAAAAATTTCTATAAGATTTATCTTAAACAGTTTCGATCTTTACGTTGAACTTAGAAACTAAAATATAAAAGTTATTTTTATGAAAAATGTTCTATTCTTAAAATCTGAAAAAGACGTCTTTTAGACATGATAAAGACATCTTTATGAACAGACATAGAACCTTTTTTGGACGTACCTCAGACGTATTATTCACGTTTTTAAGATATACCATACGGGGACAAGTTTTGTTCCCGTTTTGTTTTTCTTTTGTCACAAGTCTAAAAGACATCCTCAGGACGTCTTTTGAGCAAGTGTGCCCACTGTGTTGCAGGCCTACTTTCAAGTCAGATACTTGGAGCCCGAAAACATGGCTTGTTTAAGTTCACGCCAGTGCCCGCAGAAAAAGAGCGCGTGCTCCGCGTCGTCAATGTGTGCTGCTTCGTCGACGCCCGCTCCGTTGAAGTACACACATTTCGCATCTGTTTCTATCTTAAATCTGTAAAAGTATTGACCGAGACAACCACGACTCGGCAGTGCTTGCGTAAAGTAATAGCCAACTTCGCCGTGTTTCCTTTTCTGCCATCACTAAACGAATCTACTTCTAAACTCTCTACGTATTACCGCTTTGAGTCTATCACTACGCTCTGAAGTACTCGTCCGATCTTTGTAAAGGTAGAAAATTTTCTGTTTTTCTATTGCCATCTATTGGCGGTCATCTAGCGAGTACCAGAACAGCGCAAGTAGACGCCCTTCTAAAGGCTGACACTATTCTCCGTGCTGGATCTCTCTAAACCGCGAGAAGCCTGTCAAAGATGCTGTGGATCTAAGGCAAACAGGGGCAGCATAAAGCTGCTTTGCTTTAACCACAGTCGCCACTAGTTTCCGTTTCTTTTCCCTGGGGCCACCGATATTTGGCATCATCCTCGAAAGGTTTCCCATGCACTCGGTGACTTGGAGTGACAAGATGTTAATGTTTTTTTTAACCATGGAAATTAGAAGTCTCTTCGGTCTGTGACAAGTAGAGCCTCAGTTTTCTCGACGGCCATTTTCAAACCATGTCAATCCAACCAAAACTTCACTCGTCGCAGACTAGGGATATATAACCGAAAAAAATATTCGATTATCGACTTTTCGAATAGTCGAACACAGTGTAGTCGAATAGCAGTCGATAATTTTGGCAAAAATTTTGAAACAAATTTACTTAAGTTTTTTGATGAGGAAAACACAAAATAAAATTAATTGTTATTAATTTCTTACTTTATTTAAACATGTTTAAAATTCAACATTTGAGTTTTCTTACTGTATTAAACTTAAATCAGTCTTCCTTTAAAACAGCCTTCATCTGCGACTTAAGTCTTAAGAGACAATATAAAACTTTAATATATATAATATATTATAACACAAGAATAAAAACATATTAGTTGTCGAACCAATATTTTTCAGGACAAGACCGAAGAAAAACCAACATTTCTAAATGTTTTCTAGATAATCTATTTCGGAGTGTATTAGATAAGAAGCCCGCATGAGAAAATAAACGCTCCGACGGGACGGAGGTGGCAAGAATACTTAAGTATTCTTGAGCAATTGGGTAGACAAAAGGGTATTCACTTTTTACTGCCTCTCATGTTTGCAGAGGATTTGGATTCTCTAAACGACTAACTGGTGGGGTATCTAAAAAGGTTCTTAGTTGAACAGAAACACCGCCTGCAATATATTGTCCAGCAAAAAGTTTTACATGTTTTTGAACTTCTTTGTCAAAATTACTCCAAAAATCTTTAGGTCCCTCAAACTTCTCTTCAATGTCATCATTAGAAAAAGTATCCGTTGACTGGACTTTAGATTCCAACTTTTTATTAAATATCTTTAGAAACTATCATTAAAAGCTGTCAAAATAAGTTATTAAGTAAAATGTTTACCTGATTGAGCCTCTTCACAATCGGAATACATTTACTGAGTGTTGTACTATTTTCGGAGCTTATATCTTTGGTCGCTAAAGCAAGGGGTTTTAGTAAACTTTTGATATCGCATAAAGTCTCTTCTTCATCTGCCATGAGGATGGTAGGCGGTTTAGATTTAGTAGTTTTATCTCTTTGTAACGAGGTGTGACTCGCGTGTATCGTGTATCTTACACCTAACCTCCAAACTAAGGGCACAAACACAATAACCTGCGAAACTCGGCCACAGTAAGAGTGTGAATAAAGGTACATTCACACCTTTTTTCGAAAATTTACTCTCGTCTTTTTTTGTTACATGACGTAGGCAGAAGTCTGTCTTACCCTTACATTTTCATACGCCAATGTCTTTGCATACGCGTATATTCAGATGAAAATGTGAGAATAAACAGACTTATGTCTATATCACTGTATCCACAACTGTGTTAGCTATATTTCGTAGAAAATCTGTATAAAATAAATTTCGAATATTTTCGACTATTCGACAACAATATACGGTTTTTCGAAATAATCGAAATCTTGTAATCGACTACAAAATTTTCGACTATTCGAGGCTGATAATCGGTTTTAGTCGATAATCGAAATCGGTTGCGTAATCCCTATCGCAGACTTTCATTGAGTTTTATCTTTAAAAACACACCAAAAGCACGTGGTCAGCAAACCCGGTTAGAAACGAATCCTCGGGTAGGTCCATTTTTAGGAAACCGTCATACATAACGTTCCAAACAGCTGGACCTACCTTCAGACTTTGGGAAGCTCCGCATGTCATTTCTGTTTTAATAGGACATGCATTGCTCTCGTACACAACTCACCTGTCGTTGAGATAATCTATCATTTTCAAAAGTTAGATTGGTACCCCTTTACGTTTCATTGCCTGGATACTAAAATCCCATCTCGCAGAGTTAAACGCGTTTCGTACGATTAAAATTATGTATGTATAGTATGTTAAATCTTTCAATTAACAATTTGGAAAACTACGTTTAAACCGAATCCGGTTCGAATTTGGTACTTAGGTTATGTTAGTCCTTAATCAGTAAGATTACAAAGCGAAATACGTCACCCACTTGTATAACGTAAAGTTAAAAACTGTTTATTTATATGTAGACAACCCTGTAATATACTTATTATATGCTTCGACTAACTTGAATAACTAAAGGTTAAAATCTTTTTATAGGGGGTACCAGTGAAGCTCAATGGGAAGATGTGACTGGATCAACACCGTTAACTTTTATGAATGACCGAGTTTCTTTTACAACAACGGTTTCAGCCAGATTTTGGTTGATGGATTACAGGAGTACAAGTGATGTTCCACGAATGGCCACTGAATTATACAAGGAATCATTATTCGTTCCATTTATAACAAAGTAAGTTTTTAACAATTTGATTTATATGAAGATGCAATATATGTATATAGAGAGAAAGTGGTTTAACACAGCTTTATTTAACCGTGTTTTTCACAATAAACCGGAATGCTTCAGACCAATTCCAGATTAGTCCAGAATTTTTACCAGGGATTGTAATTTATAATTTAATAATGTAAATTATTTGTTAGTATATAATACATATTTCTGGAAAGTAATACAGTAGGTTCTCTTGAATGCTTATTTCTATGCGCACGCAAAGAAAACCGATACTGTCGCATAAAAATTCGTTTCCATTACCTCCGTGTGAGCTGGGAAAGTAAAATGTCCACTTAGGGAAATATAGAGATTTTAAACATATACTTGTGGAGAATCTATTGTATATTACTTAATTACAAACTTTAATTATAGGTTAGAATGAATATTGTGTATAGGGTCTAAATTATCTTCTTCTTTCATCTGTTTCAACTGTCAACATCTTTATTTATTTATCTGAATATGTGTGTAAAAGGACAACACAAAGGGCTCATATTATCACTAATTTTTTGCAAACAATCTTTTGAAGAGGACGTTAACTGTTACAAGCGCACAGTACTATGGCGTATCAGCTAAAATTCTTCATAATCCAGGTATTTGATCTAAACTGAAGTTATCCTTTTGCACACTTATTCTAGAAACCATAAATTTTTTAAAAGTCGATTATTTTTACCCTACGTAATTAATTATTTAACGATCACACAGCGTTCTACTTTAATATTTATATTATATTTTCCTTCAATATTCCCAGTGGGCAAAAAACCACGTTCGTTCCAAAAACGTGCTTAAAACGTTTCACGTCAGGCAAAAAATGTTCTAGAACATTATTAGAACATCCATGTTTTTAAAATGTTTCAGAACATTGTTTGGCGGAGATAAAACTTTCTAAAAACGTTTTTAAAACGAACATGGGTTTTTGCCCTCTAGGTTATGATTAAATATATGGCACGTGTTGAAAATATGTTTATTTTCATAATGTTATTATTGAAATTGAGTATACTGCAAAAAGGAATTTAAAAGTCAAACTTCAGAAAAGATGGACTAGGCATATTAACTTTTGAAATTTATGAGGCACCAGGAGGGAAGACAAAAATTAATCTGTTATCTTAGAAAAAGGAGTGGAAAATGTACGGCTTCATCAAATTAAAATTATACATTTACTGCGTTCCTCATTGTGGTTAATAATAATTTTTTTTATTTTACGAGCGAAGTGGAAAATCTGCATAACCCTTAGTATCCAAGGCAGAAACCTAGAGCCCGGTACTCCGAGTTTATGTAGGAATGACCGTTATTGTTCTGTTCGACCCACTGAAAACCACACTCTTTAAGGGCCATCCTGAAGATTCCGCATCATCCGCTGCATGCGACATTGCTGTTCTTCATCTTATCGCCATACTTTTCTCTACATAAGAAGTAGTTTAGAATTCTTCTGCAGTTTGCAAACTAATGAAGATCTCATCATACTTTGTTTCTGTTGCGACTCCAATAACCATTGTAGATTCACTCGTCTCGTCCTACTTACTGGTTTGCTTAGGATTCGGTGCTACCTTCACCTTTGCAATCTTTTTGACAAGAGGTGCCCCCTCTTGGTTCTCCTTCTTCGCCTCGGCGTCAGTCCTCTGTGCACTGCTAGAACTTTTTATTCGTCTCTGCGCCTTTATGATTGCAACCTGAAGCCGATTCTCATAGATATGCTCCCTTTCTTGTTCCACTTCTCCCGGTTTATCTCCATGTGGCCCATAGCGCCTGCAAGGATCAGCTAAAGCGAGCTTTGTCTTCGCCACACTGACAAGATCCTGAAGATTCTTTAGTCCGTCCTTAATAGCCATGTTGACATTTTTCTGGACTTCGCAAGACTTTACAATCTTGTCGATCTCTTCTTTAATTCTCTTAAGACAATCAGATTTCTCCTGCTCTCTAAATTTGAATCAGTGGAATTTTACTGGTGAACCAGTTATAAGTATACCACTGGTTTTATTCAGTGAAAATACACTGGTTTCCAGTAAAATTTCCACTGAATGAAACCAGTGGTATACTTATTACTGGTTTACCCGTGAAATTCCGCTGATTCAAATGTAGAGAGTGCCTAAGCTTTAATCACTTCTCGAGTTCTTTTTTGACTGTCTCGTTGTCTATAGGTCAGGCGGAATCAAGCTTTCTTGTTTACTGGCACTAGAAACGCTTCCTCTTCTATTTACAAGTCTTTCTAAGCGGACCTGGAGAATCTTATGAAAATGCGTGCCCCATAATCCATCCTCCTTGTGGCATTGGATGATGCAGTATTCAAGGTGTCCAGTAATGGAACATTGTTATCACTGGATTTCGATGCTGGAAAACAAAGTTGCTTATTTTCAGCAGCGCCGACAGTGGGGTATCCTTGTACATAGAGTGCTATAGAAAATTCATAGTAACATATTAGTTAAAAACAGGCCGTTGGTAGATCTGCTTTGACTGTTTGATAGTATACGAATTCTGTACAGTTCGGTAAAAGACTGAAATCGGAGAATTTGAATATTATAGTGTAATTGTAAACACAAAGAATAATGTTTGTTATGAAACTTTTAGTAATTAGCCTGGAAGGAATAAAATTTAGCAACTTGACGGATATAAGAAAAGGTTTAAGTAAATTTGTATATTACTTGATTCTAGAGTATGTACGTTACACCGTAAAACTGTTTTTTTTACTCTTAATGAAAAAGGTGTAAAGAAAGAACAAAAAGAAAATAAATATGAAACATCATTAAACTATTTAAAAGTTTCTGGTGATGGCTCGAGGAAAAAGCATAGATTTTTGTTGCTTTACTTAATGGATACGCTTATCGGCTACTACACAAATAAAGCCATCGAAGTCGTTGTAAAATAAAGTTACTGAAGTGCATGTACTTGTATATTTGGATACTAGAACACGAAGAAGATTTTTTTATAAATTACGAGGGGTCAGCTGAAAAAATGAAGGTCAATAAGATTGTAAGTTTTTTAAAAGTCTGAAGAATTACATGGAGTAAAATATAGAAATTAAATTGGTGACGGAGATTCAAAACTTTTAAATCCATTCTTGAAATAAATCCTTACGGCGAAGAACTTAAATTGTTGAAAAATGAAGTATGAATGCAGAATTGGTTCTCTATTCGGTAATACCCTATAAAAAAAAGTTGGATAGCGAGAATCGGGAAAACGTATTGAAGCTCGGTATGTTGAATCCGTTATTTGAATATTAACATATTGGAGTGTTAGGTCGAATCCGTTGTGTATAGTTAGTCCAATACGTTCGATTGAAAATAGCGTTAAAACGAATGAAAAAACGTTTTAATTAGGATAAAAGTGACCTTTTATTAATAAAAAGGTTAAATAAATTGTGGAAAGACTAGAATTTATTTAACCTTTTTTTTATAAAAGGCCACTTTTATCTCAATTAAAACGTTTTTTCATTCGTTTTAACGCTGTTTTCAATCGAACTTATTGGACAAACTACACACAACGGATTCAACCTAACACTCCAATATGTTAATATTCAAATAACGGATTCAACATACCGAGCTTCAATACGTTTTCCCGATTCTCGCTATCTAACATTTTTTACAGGGTATCAGCTATTCTTTTCACGTTGACATGCAGAAGAAAATATTTCCGATAAATAAAGATCTTTCTAAAGACAACCTTTTGCAAAGATGCTTGGGTGGGCATACGCAAAACTCTTTTAACGCAACCGTTTGGCATTTTGCCCCAAGACATTTAAATTCTGGTTTGAATATCACTAAATTTGGTGATATTCCATAATTTAAATTAGTGAATTTAAAAGGCAGTAGTTCCTTAAAAATGTCGAAAGTATACTTTATGCTTCAGGAATATCATATTTTATACTACTGAAATAGTCAAATTTACTCTGGAAATGGTAGTTTTTACTATTTACGGACTAAAAATTTAATTAAAATAATTATAATTTTTCTAACTTGCGAAACTTGAAATATTTATTAAACAAGTTTCACCATGTCAACAAAATTACTTTTATCGATTTTTGCAGAATTAAATATAACCAGAGTGAAAGGAAATGTTTTATGAGATAATAAGACCACCAAGATTTATTTCTAGTTTTGTCCCTACTGAAAATTCCCACATGATTAATCCGAAGATGTAGAAATTCTTTTAGTGAATTGTCTTAAGGTCATGTTTCTATTTTGTATCCATCCGGAGGGCCACTACCACGACGCAAACCGACAGATGAACATACTTTTGGTATGAGAGACACATTGGAGTATCTAAACGGTTTTAATATCTGACACGCTGAAGTATTTCCATATAATTGTTTTTTTTACATTTTTGAAAATTTGTAGATGCTCCCCCCACCACTGAAGGGGGAAACTTTAAAGAAACTTTTATTTTCCTTATCAACTAAACTACAAAATATTATCGTCCCCACGATGTTCGAGTAAATCCCCATTTATCCTCCAAATTATTTAGATAGCTATCCATAGTAACATACAGCTCTTAAATTTTCCAAGTCATCTTACTGATCGCATTTAACAATTTGATAAATACATTTTTGGTCCCATAAAAATAACATAGAACATAATTTTAGTTGATTATGGGGAAAGAAATATAGGGCATATGAACTCCCGTTTGGAAAAAATTGAGTTTGATATATTATGAGGTAAGTTTTAAGGCCACAGAAAATTAAAAGGCATTAAAATAAGCTGCAACGCTTATTATTTTAATACAATTTTGCTTATTTTAATCAATTTTGGTATTAAAATAAGCAAAATTGTATTAAAATAATAAGCGTTGCAGCTTATTTTAATGCCTTTTAATTTTCTGTGGCGCCGTCCTATGACAGCGTGAAACACCGGCGTTTCACGCTGTCATGGGACGGCACCTGTAGACAAATTTTAGTCGCACAAACATCATCAGTAGGTTTAATTCCACTGGATTGTTTCCCTTGGAATGAAAAAAAAATTCCTGCAGATTTATTT